TTTTTCTGAAATTAATCAAGACATTAAAATGATATTTCAAGAAAAGTGGTGAACTTATTATTATTAAAGCTCTACAAAAAACACGTTTAATAAAGTGTATATAATAACTCGAATATTGAGCGAAAACAAATCATTAATTAAAATACTACATAAACAATTTCCGAAGGTTCTATGCAGATTCGGGAGGCCAGTTGTATAAGAGCGTGCTCGACGGCTAACCCTCAGATAACCGTAATTCGCATGCAGAAAACTCGAATCTGCTATGAAATGTAAATTTTCAGTAATAAAAACATTCAGCGTGGACAAAAGAAAGATATTATTTGTGTACTACGTCAATCTTCTATTACGTTATTCAGGCAAGCAAAAGTTCACATGAAATTTATATGTAGGTTATAAACCAAATTTAATTTTCAACGTATTTTACAGTCGATTTTCTTTTCATGGCAGACATTCACAAATGTATAATTTCGTGTCGTCTCGCCACTATATAGCTTGTCCAAAAAAGACTGGTCGAAAGTGACTTCGACAGAACTTCCCTCGCCCCTGAATTACAGTCAAACCAAAAAGTATAAAAATGTTACAACTTTTGCAACGTTTAATTATGATAACCTCCATACATAAAAAAGTATATATACAGGATGTCGCATCCAAATGTGGACATAGAAAATTCACTAAAATCTACCGACACTAAAATATATTTGGAATCTGTGAGTTTACTGCGTTTAAATTATCTTACAATAATAATCATCATAATTTGGGTTGTTCAGTGATTACTGGATGAGGTATCGCAAGTAAATCCCTAGCTTGATGGACACCCAGGTCGTGTCCACCCACGATACTGCCGATGGAGGTGTTGTGGATGACGAGCTGCTCAAAGGGCATCATCTCGCATTTCTTGGATACGGCCTGAGCGTAGTCGGAGATTACTCGTTTGACGGAGTCGCGCACTACGACGAGGTGTTTCGTGGAAGGATTCATGTGCTGGATCAATTTGTGCATTTATTCCGTTTAATTTGTCCTACAATAATCATCACACTGGATAGAATAATTCAATTTGAGTTGTTCAGTGATTTTTAAGCGAGATTCGAGGAATAGTTTCTAAATTCACTTTGACATGTAGATTTTCTGTGGCTAATCCAAAGACGCTCGAACTGAGACGGAACGTTTCGCGACAAATCGGATTAACCCCCTTATTTTAAAATGTGCTTTTTAAAGCCTTTTTACACTGAATAAAAAAAATACTGGTCGATAGTCCTCCTTTGCCCCCACAAATGCATCGCTTAATAATAGCTTTAAAGTGATCTGGAGAAATATTATAAAATAAAAATCAGGTCCCCATATTAATTTCCTATGTCCACACTTGGATACGGTACCCTGCAGATAATACCACTAACAGTGTAAGAAAAAAAAAGAAAAGCCTATAATGCTGAGTCGAACGCTCAACCGTTTTTTCATTCCAACACGGAAACCATCAGTTGAGCTACGGAATCGTTCTATACATACATAGTTGCTTACTTATAAAAACTTGTTATACAGTTGGGACGTTTTGCGAAAAATTTTGATACCTAGTTTAGTCATTTTATGAAAATTAACTCGCGTGTACTGAAAAAAAATTTAAGGGACGTCGTCAAATTGTAGGTGGGAACGATTAGACAAATTTTGGTAAATGTTTTACTAGCTACACGGTATTGCTAAAAATACCTATAAAATTTCAGATATTATCTGTCTAATAAAAATCGACACAGGCGACAGGCAAACCGAAGTGCGAGACCCACTTTTTCGTACTCTAGGGTCATAAAACTCCACAAAAAAAAGATGGTTTCACGTCCAAAATTTATTGAAAACGTGTTATTAAAAAATATATGTCTTTATATGGGATACTGCATATATTTATCTCAGTAATATTTTTTTTGTTACTTACGGGACGTAACCTGGTTACTTTCATGTTCTCTCGACGTTTCATCACCCCCAAAGAACGAAAAAAGTGGTTTCCTATTTCCGTCTGTCGGTCGTGTGTCGTCTGTGTTGATTTTTATTAGAAAGATATTTTCCGAAATTACTGGACCGGTTGTTATCAAATTTTGTATGGCTATTAGGAATATATGTAGATGGTAAAACGCTAACTAGAATTTGTTAATCATCCCCACCACCAATGGCGTGATGTCATCTCCAAAATTTTCAATAGGTTTTTTTTTAATTCTATAAAATAAGATAATTCTGCATTTGTAGTGTATGAATCTGTATGGAAATGTTTGAAATCTTGCAAATACTCTAGTGTTATCATAATCATAGTAAATCTTTAATCAAAATTTATTCCTTTATCTGCTGCCAAAAAATTGATGACGTCATCTCAAAATTTCACCGAATAAATCCTCTCTGAAATATGCAAAATATTATGACTCTATACTTGTGGTTTATCAACGCATTCATAGTTTTTAAAATTACTTATATAGGAGACTCAAAAAAAAATGTGATTCAGCTAATTTATTTTATTCATTAAATCAGGAACTGCAGAACCGAATGCTTGGAAATCTTGCAGACGTTTTAAAGTTATCGTAAGCATGGTAAATTTTTAAATCAAAATATATCTGTTTATCCCCGTCAAAAAATCGATGATATCATTTCAAAATGTTGCCGTATAAATCCTATAAAAAATGTGAAAAATCTAATGAGTCTATATGTGTAATTTATCACTGCATTAATAAAAGTTTTTGAATTGCTTATACAGTATGTTTTAAAAATTAACCAATGAGTCAATTTATTTTCCCGAAAATGTGGAAATACGATACTGTTATCATTAGTATTACACTACACCTGTCTAGACTGATAAAAAATAAAAGTATTATTGCAAAAATGTAACAACGTCATCACAAAATTTTGTTAAGGAGAAATTCATTTAAAACATACGCACAGCATTCGTCTTTACATTTACTTTAGCATTGCATCGTATCTTGATTTTAACTTACGACTTAAAATCCGCATAATCAAATTTTGTAATTTTTCGAAAAAATTTCGTTGTACTTCAGAGGCGATGGAAGTTCTGACGAAATAACCTTCGACCAATTTTTTAAATTTTATGTTGGAATTGTAGACCAACGCTATACTTTATTGACAATCGACGACGTACGTTGTAAATTAAACGCAATAAGTATTTTATGATTATGAAGGACATACGTCGCACTTTATAAACGGGGGACACAGTATTTTGTGAATTCTGACGTCATACGTTGCAAATCTTGAACACCGTATTTTACAACGAAGGCCGTTCTTTATGAACGACGGATGCCGTAGTTTGTAAATTCTAAGCATCGTAATTTATAAATTCTGGACGGTGTACTTTATAAGCGACTAAGGGCGTAATTTTAATTCTATTTTTTTTATAGATAGTAAATTGTGAAGGGCGTCCTTTTAATTTGAAATTGCTTACAAAGGAACTAATGAATGAAGCATTTTATTTTATTGATCAAATCAAGAACGATTTACCCCATTTTCAAGAAAATTTGAGAATATAATTTTGTTATTATTAATATTACACTACACCTCTTAAAATTAATATACACGTGTCGTTGCACTAAAAATATACGCATAGCATGCTTCTTTACCTACACTTTAACAGTGCACATATATCTGTATTTTAAGTTAAAAAAAATCACAAAATCTAATTTTATCATTTTTCGAAGAAGCTTTATTTGTTAGACTGTAGAACTCAAGAGTGAAAAAAGTTCTGGATAAAACTTAGAGCAATGAAACCAAAAAGTTAACTAAAATAACGCAATGTTCAATTTTTTATTATTAATTGATATTTACAATACTTGAATCAAGTGTTTAGTTCCAAAAATTGTATAAATTTTTAAAAGTTGCATCTGTAAATACAGTCTTTCATAGAGATCAAAATTAAGGCCGTCGTTAAGTAATCACAGCATCTTGTAAAGTAAAAAATTCATATAGACTTTTCACATTTTTTTACATAACCGTAAAAACAGTTATAACTAATACATACTTTCATAGTAAGACTATCACTAATGTCACATATTTTAATTATAAGTTAATTATCAAAAAAATAAAGATTTTGCTTCGAGAGAATGGCTGAAATCACAAGAACGGTGTTAATGTGAAGGTTAACTACTGTTATACAGAGTAAATGTAAGTGAACGATAAAACTTTTATGTTGAAACTTACACATGCCGTATCACAGGAATTAGTATTATGGTCCTTGCTATTCCTAATCTTTATTAACGATCTGCTTTTATGGGTTTCCTATTGTTCTTCGTTCTCTGAGGTTTCAATTTTACCGTCGAGAAAACAAAACTTACTTTATTCTATTTGATCATGAATATGGGTCATCAACAGGAATAATAAAGAAATATTATATTTATGTATTTTAATTTACTTTAGTTTATATTTTATTAAAAAACACTTTCATAATAAAAAATAACGAAAAATTATAATACTCATGGGAATAAAAAAAAATCATTACCGCAACCCATGTTTAATTGGTAGTTTTTGAAAATCTTTTAACATAGTTCATTAGACTTTACCTAAAGCCATTTTGTTCTGAATTCACAAAAATGACAAAATTTACAGTTCCACTGCAAAACTATTGTGTCATTGTTTTTAGTATTGTTACTATTACCTTTGTATATAGGCACCTGCGTAAAAAAAATGAAGTAATTCTCTTTCTTGTACTCAGTCTGCTACAAATTACATTTAATTAAATAAAATAAGTCCAGAATAAATAGTTTTTTGTTTAACGCATTTTCATTCTTTAGGGACTTCAGTGCGTTTTGCTCCAGCAATTTACTGAGAGGGTCTAAATAAGTTTGCCACTTTTAATACATGCGGACACGTTAAATCAAATTATTATTCATTGCATAGCCGGTCTAGACAGAAAAAAACCCTGTCAAAACTTATTTCTAAGAAAATTTCCTTCCGAGTTATTATTCTTAACCCGTCCACTGGCCAGCATCTACATATTCATCTCTGCTCCTCCTCTTACTCACCTTCTGCAGAAGATACGTTCTATTATCTAAATCGGCAGGACTAATGTTATTATTGGCACAGGTCGCTTCGATGGGTTCCGGTTTGTTAGCCTGTAGGACTCGGACCGCTTGCATTCTCTTCCTCAGGTTTTGCAGAGCACGTGCTTCCTCGCGCTTGCGGCTGGGCTGGTAGGATGGTGCGGATGGAAGAACGGCAAATTGCGGTTCAGCTGGTTGGATGGAAGCACTTAGCAATCTCTTGCTGACAGGAGTGCGAGGCTTGCTGTACTCCGTCAACATCTGGATGCTGGGAGGACAAATGGAGGTCTGGGAAGCTATTCGAGGCAGCTCCATGCTGCTTAGAGCACAGCATCCCGCTGCTAGAGCTTGCAAGAGTCGAAGACACACTACTGACGCAGTGCATGCGTCAGGTCGATACGTTCGCCGTCGCGACGCCGAACACGAGGAACGCCCCCGTAGGGCAGATGCGCGATATACCACAGACTTCGATTTGCAAACTTATTAGCGAAACGCACGAAGATACGACGATAAATCTTCACTTTCTTGCATCGATCGAGTGGAAAGTAACCGAAAGATACTCACTTGAAACATGAGGGAAAGACTTGTGGAAGTTCCAAGATTTTCTTGATCAGCTGTCGGGCATAAAAGCGGCAAATGCTGTTTTTGAAACTTTCTGCGAAGATGTTTGTTTTTAACTTTCGCGTTCGGAAAGTTGGTAGAATGAGACGAAGTTTTAGATTCGGAGATTCGAATAAGTGTTCACATTTTGAAGTCTTTGGAGAACTTTCTAGGGTTTTTTGCAAGGTGCATCTGTGTGTAGTGAAATTTTTCGCCAACTATACCTCAGTAAGAATACTTAACGAGCCGCAATCAAATTTGGTATTCGAGATCTTTAAAACTGTTTCCATTTGATTAGTTTTTCAAGAGAATTGGTGAGCGGATGTACAAACAGAAAAATTACAATACTGGAACGTAAAACAAGTTCAAAATACATTTTTTACTGTCATACAACACATTAGAAAATTGTACACTAAGGTCTTATTAACAGTCTAACCGAAACGGATAAGAATATTTAGATGATCAAATGAATTTGAATTTTTGATTTTTTATAAGATCTTTCGCAACCTCTAAATTACTAAGTAAACTAACTGGTTTAAATTTCTTGATAAAATATTAAAAAATTGAAAAAAATCTACGACGGCAAAAAAAATATAAACAACTTTTACTTTCTTTAAATAATACTTGTGTCAATGACTAACACAATCACGAACTATGAAGACTGCGGAAAACAACATTTCTGAAATAAATCAACGTAAGGTTAATTACGTGAATCAAAATCGAAATTCTTTTACTGTAGATGTGAATTTGTGCCTCACTATTTTGGAAGGTTATCACATGATCAATACATCGTAACTTCCGTAGTTTATTCGCTATCGAAGATTTTGTTGAAACATTTCCTTCTAATCTAAAAAATATCGGTTTTGAATTTCCTGTTTCGTGTAAATATCACTGATATCAGGAGCGTGCAAAATCTAAATGTTGCTGTAGATACTCCTGGCCTCTTTCAATCTCCTCATGTTTATTCTCTCCGCATATTTCCACCCCAACACTACACACATGCACACGTTACTTATTTATCATAGTTGCTCTTCTGTATCCAATTATGACTCTCTGCTTTTCCGCTAGTTGGGTTTTCTAGTGGTTTATAAACGATGTTCTAAAACTACGAAAACCATCGCAACATGCGAATGAGATTCCTGCAAATAAAAATCTTTGGACAAATTTTTCAATAAAGTTTTATATAAGAGTTTCCTGAAATCACTTTAAATGAGAATACATTATCCTTAATATCCTACTAAATTATCGTTTCGTAATTTCTAAAATAAATTGCAAAAGACAATATAAAATCGACATGAAAAATGAAATCATATTCAGAAACACGTTATGATCCCTTGAAACCAAAAATTTCAAAGAACTATCGATGCGTTTCAGCAGCTACGCTGTCATTTTTTGAATGCCGTGGAGATGATAACGTGCTTGTATTAGTTTACTAAATAATAATCTTTGTAAGAATTTCTTTAACCTTAATTGTAAAAAATCATGTCACGCTGTACATTTTAGAATCAGTTTTTTTTTTAAGAAAAAAGTTGAGAAATTTTAGTTAGTTTTGCGATCAAAAGTAATCTTAAAAGTATGTACTGTAATTCACAGCCCGACTGAGATTTTCACAGTCCGCAAAAAAACGACAGACTAACGAAAACGGGAGACCTACGTTTTCATATTCTAGGAGCGATGTAATGTTGAGAAAACATGAAACCAGTCGTCATTATAAAACCATTACAATACTGTCCTTAGAGACCAATTTCAAGTTAATTTAGCGATGTTTTTCGTCGTTTTGCGAGGTCGCTATCAACTTGAAATTGGCCCCTAATGTAGCTAGAAGTAAAAGAGAGCAATATGGCAATGAAAATCCAGGTAAAAAAATTGATCTAAAGTTATTTAAACAGAACTTCCGTCGTCCCTTACAGAAAATCGAACAAATCGAGTTTTTTCAAAAAACTATGAAATGTGATTTTGCACAATTTTATTTATTTCATGATAAAATTGGTCGAAGTTTATTTCGCCCCTGAAGTAAAATTTAACAAATCCCGCTTCTTGGAAAAATTATAAAATTTGATTTTGTAATAACCTCTTAAAAATAAAATCCAATATAGTAAACAACTCCTGTGATCCGTACAAGTGCGGAAAGTATGAAATATATTTAAGACAGATAACTAACGGGAAAAATGTATTATCAGTACATGCTTAACTTCGATTGTTTTGTTTATAGGTACATTGAAAGAATGCGACGATTAAGCACTTAGGTAAGCTGCCATGTTTGAATGCCTTTGTCTCCTTAAAACAGAGGATGGGAACAAAATTATTAATTAAGTACAATGCGGCAATATGTTCTGAATACATACCATTACATATTATAATTCTTAGTTTATTACACTATGTTTTTAATATAGGTGGGAGTAACATTACTATATTTTGCACTGCAAAATGTTGTTAATAAATTACGAATAAAACTAAACACTGATTCATATACTTCAAGTGAGGAGTTTTTATTTTACAAAATTTAAATAACATTTATTTGGCTAAATTGTACGACGACGTCATTAATTTTTAAGGGGTCTAAAAAGGATAAATCGTGATCAACAATTTGCCATGCATGCGATAATCTTAAAACGTTTGCAAGTTTTCAAAATATTTGGTTTTTCAATTTCACAGTTAAATTGTAAAATGTTATACAATTTCGAACATCTTGATGTGTAGGATAAAAACCTAACCCACACTCATGACCCACAATTGCAGAAGTATGTTATTTTATAAAATTTAAAGAAGATTTATTCGTATAAACTGTAATATGACGTTTTGCAATTCAAAGCTAAATTATAAAATGTTGCTATAAATATTTTGAATTCTTTCCAAAAATCTGGATATGTAGAGTAAAAATTAAACACGGATTCATAAACTACAAGTAGGTTATTTTATTAACTTTAAATAACAATTATTCGACCAAATTGTAAGATGGCGTCATCAATTGAAGGGGGGCATAACGAATACTTTTTTATTAACGATTTACTATTCTTCCAGTGACTTTAAAACATATGCAAAATTTCAAAGCGATTGGTTTTGCAATTTAAAAATTACATTGTAAAATATCGTTTTTTATTGTTTTCCCAAAAATTTTGAAGTCTAGGGTAAAAACCCGACTCGAGTTTAAACAACATTTACCTCTCCTATCGTTGGTAGGGATCGGATGGACCCTTTTACAATATTTCCAATTAACTAACACTCGGGCACTAATGAAACCATGAAAGGATCGAACCACGACAATTTTCGCTTTGCAGGTCCGAGGTCGGCGACTTTAACTTCTCCATATTCAGTGTTGCTTATGGAAGGTTGTTATACAATTTGAAGGCAGATTCGTAAACCACAAATGTGACCAGACTATGAAATTTAAATAATGTTTAATGTACCCATTTTTGAGGAGATGTCATCAAATTGTTAATAGAGATGATTAGACAAATTTTAGTTAGTCTTTTACCATCTACACGATATTCATAACATACATCTAAAATTTGACAACAATCAGTCGGGTAGTTTCGGAGATAACCTGGTTAAAAAATTTGGACAGATGGCAGGCACACAGACAGAAACTGGAGACCCATTCTTTCTCTAGATATCGTCTTTAGAGGTCATCCAGAAAACATAAAACTAGCCATTCGTCATTTGGACTCTATTACAATATGTCCTTAGCTCACGCTTGAGTAAAAATGTAAATAATACCATTCATAGTGTAAAAATCAGTCATTTAACCAATTCACTCACGAGGTATTTGATGCATGAGGGAATGAAGGATACAATCATGAAACACGTGGAAAATATTACACAAAAAAAATGTTTGTAAAGTAATTGTGGTAAAAATCAAAGCGGGTTTAAAAACCACAAGTACACGAAAATCAAATTGTTGGGGGACGATTAGACAAATTTTGGTTAGCGTTTTACCGCCTATATGAAATGCGTAAATAACATAAAATTTTAAAACGGAAACGGAAGCTTATTTTTTCATCCTCTAGAGGTCATGAAACGTCGAGAAAGATGAAAGTAGCTATTCACCGAATGGACCATTTTGGAATACTTTCCTAGTTTACTTTCAGGAAGTAAAAAATCAATTAAACAAGTTTAGTCCCTTCGATAAATTATAAAATTTAATTCCGTGAAAACAAATATGTTAATAGACCTAAAACGTAAACAAGTAGGTCGGTAGATAAGCTTGAATGGGTAGAGTTTAATATTAATAACAAGAGTACTAAAGTAAATGAGATAATAAAATCGGTTGCTTGAGTAATTATTTTTTTTTAGACGCATGGAAACAATTCTAGAAAGACTGTATGAAGAAACTATGTGTATTACAGCAAGAAATTAACAGAAAAATTATGCATTTAGCAATTTACCATATTCTCAATAACCTTAAAACAAGTCCATTAGTACTAGTAACACCTGTAGAACCAAAGGTTAGTTTTTTTTCCAAAAAACTACAGGCGTAAGGTTAAAAATAAAACTGAAATAGTAAATCAGAGAATGGTTGTATATTGTTTTGCATATTTTAGATAGCGTTTATCTGGAAAAAATTTGAGGTGAGGTCATCAGATTTTTGGTGGAGATGAACAAAAAATTTTGATCGGGGTGTTACCATCACCAACAGACGAGACAGGCAGATCGACAGACAGACCGAAACAGGAATGTTCATTTTTAAAACGAAATATTTAGTTGTTGTCTTATAACCTAAGATAATATCGTATACTACCTCGAGGAGATTATTTCTAAATTCGTCTAGAATCCAATCGGCTCCAAAATCCACTTGTTTGCCGGTCAATAGTCACTGTATGTAACACAACTTGAAATTGAGTTTAACGGCCGCTAACAACACTGTTTAATCAATCGCGTTGGAGAAAATCCAACGTAAATGCTTAACAACTTTGATCATTAACTTGAAGTAACTCATCCTAGTATAGTGAGCACCATTTACAAAATTAATGAACCTCTTGTTGTAAATGGAAGGAAGAACGATTGAGATTTATAATCCTGCGGAAAACGACATATTTACCATATGTGCACTTACAGTAAATTTTCCGAGGACTGCACCCACATAAATGTTCAAACAAAGATTTGGCTTTTACTATTTTTGTTAAACTCAATGCCGAAACAGTTTTTTCATAAGTTACGCGCAAATTTTTATTTTAAGAAAATAAAATTGGCTTGATTTTTGCAAATGAATTCGATAACACAGCAACTTGTTTCTAGAGTACACGTTGCATTTTCGGTAAGAAATTTGAAATCAACAAAACCACATCCTGGAGCTCATATTAGTTAGGCTTAACAACGAGAAAATCATTTTGTGTCGAGAATTAATAATGCGTCTTCAGGTATTCAAACATTTTTTTATTTTATATTTTATTTCCTTATCCTTGAAGAAAACTCTTTTGTATTCCCGTGTCTGAACACTTCGTTTTTAATGCCGATACCACCCGCATAACAACAACACCTGTACGTATAATTATAATTAACCTCATCAGTATAACATCAAATTTTTGTTCAAAACACTAGGAGAATCTATACCTACCAGCAAGTTCTTCTTAACGCACTCATTCATATGCCAAATAAATAATAACTTCAAGGATAATGAATCACTTTTGGTCTAATATTATTACAGTTTAATTGTTGCTCGGAGCTTATAAAGGAGTACCATTATCGTTAAGCATTAATCTGGCGATGAATCTACACATTACAATAAGCAAATTCCACTGTAAACAGATTACATCACGACGAATGTGCTTTACATACCAAAAACATTTTGTTTGTCTTAAATTGTATTGAGTATTGTTGACTATATACGTGGAGCAAATCTTTGAATGAAAAATTACAATACTGATGGCTATATAAATAAAATTCACCCATCCATCATTCGTTAGTCTATACTCTTCACTGCCACAGGGAACACAAAGTGGTGTCAAAAATGAAAGCGATTTTTGCGGTAAGTCATTTTTCATAAGTTTTATCTAACTATAGTAGTGATGTTTGGTGAACATAAATTGAAAAAATAATCAATAATCGTATCATTATGTAAATTTATGGACATAGCAATCTATGTTCGGTTCAATTTTAAACCTAATTTGTATTCTTGTACATAAGCTTTAAGCTTGCTACACGCAAACATAGTTTTCTGGAATAGTAAAACCACTATCGTTATGTTATTAATAATTTGTTTATAGATTTATTTATAAATATGTGCTCCGTATAATGTGCAGCTTTCAGTAAGCATGAAACTGAAAACAGTGATGATGGTTTTAGTCGTGAAAACCGATTTACTTCATTTTTAGTATACCAGTTCATACAAACGACCGTTTATTTTGTTTCTCTATAAAATAACTGTGCGAGTTCGTTTCAACACGCACGCTAGTGAAAGCAGAAACAATAAATTAAAGAAAACAAAGAAGAGAATCGCTATTATACATTTTATTCGTTTTCAGATTTTTATTCTTTTGGTTAGTCTTACCGCCATCAGCTTTGCTGCTCCTGCTGCTTCTCCTGCTCCGGGTCCGGCACCTCAATGGGTTTACCCCTCATATGGATACGTACCTTATTATTCCAGTAGCTATTATTCGGCACCGTACTATTCTTATGGTTTGAAACAATATATTACCTATTTTCTATGTTTAACCATATTATTGCAGGTTATGGGTACTCTTCTCCGTATGTCTACACTTACTAGTGGTCCGATATTTGTATGAGAGACGTAAATCTAAACTCTAAGTACCTACGCATCGATATTCATTCATTATTTTTACATTATGTAATTTCATTTGTCAATATTTTTCTAAATTAAATTTTATCTAAAAGCTGTATAGTCTCAGTATTTGCTCCCTAGATGTAACTGTATACTGCAGCTTAGATGTTAAGCAACGAAGTTCTGCGAAATTTTTGCAAAAAAATAATACTGTGGTACTAACCTAGAAACTATAACTGCTCAACTTTGGAAAACTTTATAAAATAAGTGTTAAATTCATTTAAATTCCACTCGTAAACTATTTATTTGATCAATAAAATCAATCAAAAAGTTATGAAAAACAAGTTAATTCACGAATTCATTCTTTGTTAATTTATTAATTAACGTATACAAAAAAAGATTTGGCTAAATTGTTACATAATTTTACAAGGCCGCCTGTACCTGATTTTGTCTAGTGATTAAAAACCTGATTTCAGTGACTGATTGATAATTATATTAATTATTATATTCAATATTAGTAATTTTACCTTAGGACCGATTTCATAATCAAGTTAATTGGAACTTTAAAATTAAAATTGGATTTTTACCATAGAAACACATTACTGAGAAAATGGTTTAAAGCTCCCATTAGTTAAAGGTCCTTTAAGTTTTGATTATGAAACTAGCCCTTATTTTGTTTTTGATTTTTACTTTATTTCGATATATTATATATCTAAATTGACCAAAAGATTATTTAAAATCCGATATAATTTGAAAGTATAAGAAAAATTTTTGATATTTCTGGACTACAATTTTTTAACAGAATATGACATCATGATAATAATTAATGAATTCAGAAAAAAATTACAAAAAAAACATGTGTCATTAGGGTGTCATTTAAAAATTGCCTGTATTTTCATCTGAGTATTAGTAATAAAAGTTAAAGTTGTAGATACATGTTCAGGAAAAATCAAAATTCAAAAAAATTGTTATTTGATACATATTTTCGGTGTTTTTTTTTTAGTATCTCCAAAATCTTTGCCAAAACACAAAACAATACGCTGTGTTAACTCAAACATCCCATCAAAGTTAGATATGAGTAAAAAATTTGGTCTTGAAGTGTGAACGTAAACAAATGAAACCCTACGTTGTATGTTTTTTTTATTGTGGAATGCGTTCAAATGCAAAATGATGAATCGCAAGGTTGGAAAACTGCCCCTAAATCAAAATCCAAAACATGGGGGACAAATTGTTTACTCCTCTATTATTGAAAGACAAAAGCCATTGAAATATGTATAAGGTATTGAGGACCTTATTTCCCAGCTGCAAAAACCCTCTTCAATTTACAAAAATACAACCAAATGTCATAAATTTAAAGACATAAAGAATAAGTAAATGGTCACTTAAGTAACTGAATGGTAATACTCAAGTCATTATGGTGGTGTAACGGCAAATTTATATGAACATAACTAAAGTCGGTTACGGGATCGATCTCTCCGATCAAGACGATTGAGCTCTCCTCAGTTTTCAGCGATACTTTGTGTTGTGAGATTTAAAAGTAAGATTACCTACTAAAATTATAGCAATTTACCAATGGAATTCAACACGTTCATTTGATTAATATTGATTAAAAACTTGGTCCCGGGGTACTTCGAAAGAACTTCTCTAGCCCTTGAAGTACAAGTATCCAACAAATTCCGCTTCTCTGAAAAATTATAGAAAATTTGTGTTTTCTGATAAACTTTATATCGTAAAAACAGTGGTGTAAATGACACCTCGAATCCCCTACGCCGCGGGAGTGCAAATACCAAGGAGGTGCCGTCCGCAGATATTCAGACAATATAAAATGTATTCAAAGCAAATAACCAACGGAAAAGAGTGTATGATTATCAGTGTACATGCTTAACTTGGATTGTTTATGTTTATACATCGAAAGAATGTCACGCAGAAATTTGTTTAATTTGTATGAGTTGTCTCCTCAAAATAGAAGACTAAAAGGGTGGGTTTATAAAAGCCGAATTAAATATTTAATTAAAAATTAAGCGTTAATTATCGATTAGTTTAATTTTTTGACGTCATCGAGGTGCGATTAAACACAAAATTAAAATTTAATTTTTTGTTAAATTAATTCGCTATTAACGACATTAATCACACGATTAAACATCATATCGGTTTACAAAAGCGAAATTACGCTTAATTAAAATGTTAATCACACGATTAACTTAATCGAAGTAGCGACTTCAATTAACTCGCTAATTCGCCCGCTTTGACGCTTCGCGTATTTGTGACGAGTGAGCAAAATTGGTGAAAATAAAGAAAATCCAACGATTATTACAAACGTAAGTAATAACATAATAAATTGATTCATATTTCTTTATTATATTCGATATCTTCAGTTTCGGGATGTTTGATTTATCGGATATATCGTCCTCATCTTCATCATCGGACGAAGAAAACATTGTTCAAAGGATTCCGCGGAGGAGAAGAGCTTTAAAGGATAGAACAAATCCATTTGAACTATATGACGAACAGGAATTTAAAATGCGATTTCGGTTCAACAAAGAAACAATTCTGTGGCTGCGTGATATTCTTGGTGCGGAATTAGAACCTACCTGCAATCGGCGAAAATCGATTTCTGCCTTAAACCAGGTATTGTTAACGATGCGATTTTTGGCAACAGGGGCCTTTCAACAATTAGTGGGCGATACGTTTGGTGTGCATAAGTCAACGGCCTGCATTATAATTCAAAGAGTTGTGCGAAAAATTGCAGCGTTAAAACCACAATACATCAAGATGCCAACACAAGCGGAATTACAAAATGTAAAACTGGGATTCTATAGATTACGTAGAATGCCCAATGTGATTGGCGCAATTGACTGCAGTCACATACGGATTGAATCTCCAGGTGGACTCGAAGCCGAAGTTTTTAGAAATAGAAAAAATTACTTTTCTATTAATATTCAAGCCGTATGTGACGCTAACATCAAAATTTTAAACATTGTGGCAAGATGGCCAGGTAGCGTCCACGACAGCACCATCTTCAACGATTCCGCTTTATGTGCTGATCTCGAAAATAGCCGCTATGGCGATGGATTTTTATTGGGTGATAGTGGATATGCCTGCCGCTCATTTATTTTAACTCCACTAATTCGTCCACAAACAGCACCAGAGACAGCATACAACAACTGCCACAAAGCTACAAGGAACCCCATAGAAAGATGTTTTGGCGTCCTTAAGAAACGATTTCCTTGCCTCTCTATTGGTTTGCGGACAAAGATGGAGACAACACTGACAACTATCGTCGCTTGTTGTGTTCTCCACAATCTAGCAATTATTGCTAATGACGAGGAACCTCCAAGAGACCCAGAGATTGTCCTACCACCGGAGGTTAATGAAATACACGTACAAAACAATGTTCGAATTTTTAATAATGAAAATTCAGCAGTTCGAACATCTTTAATTCGAACGCATTTTGGATAAAAACAAATTTGAACAAAAAAACAAAACAAAAAAGTCGTTCCACTATTACATATTTAATAAAATTTTGTGTTATATTGAATTAAAGTCTGCCATTTCTATTGAAACACAACTTACTGATCGTAAATTTGACAACGTTGAAATTGAGACATTTTTGATAAGCAGGTAGTGTTTCAATAGAAATGACAAAGATATTTTTTCTTTACATAAAAATATTTAAAAAAAAAAACAACGAACGAACAAAAAATAATTAAATATTGCCTAACTCTGTAACTTTTCTAATTCTTTTTCCTTAATTTCTAATTCTTTTTCTTTAATTTCTAATTCTATTTTGTATAATCTTTTCTTAAAATTAAGTTCCATCTCGGCCAATTTTATCCGTTTAAGATACAGCAATCTTTTTAAATCCGCGGTACTCTTCTTTGATTTTGCAATCCTCGGTTTTTTCCGGATCACCTTTTTTGGTGGTTGGGGAATTTCTGGAGCAACGGCAGAAGGCGTTAAGGGTTGGTCAGATGGCGGTGATGGTAGGTAGGGTGGAGGACTTTCATCTCGCCAAGAAGGTCCAGGAACTGGATCCATGTGAATTGGGAGGGTTGGAGGTGACACAACGATTAGTCCACGAGTGGGGGACAAAACTACATCTAAAAATGGTTTCAATGATTAAAATATGTATTTATTTACTAAACTTGCCAAATACCTACAATAAAATAGCACAAAAAAATATCCTTCAACTACATTCTTGGGAAAGTGTACAGTTTATTAGGAGACATTTTATATGAAGGAGTTAGAACAAAACGAGTAATAGTATATTATTAGCCAAGGTTGGAAAGCTGCGCGTCTCGGGTTCTAATTTGCGCTCGGTCTAGAAATGGCTTTACAAACGTGGCTAATATATTATTTTTTTCACTAGTAGCAATCATAAGACAATAAATTGAAAAAATAAACGTTCAATTTTTTGACGCAACATGATTTTGTTTTGATTTCTAATCAAACTTAATCTAAATCATCAACACAAAGAAAACCGTTTATACTTGTCGCTGAATTAATCATTTGATCTTCCACTGTCTACCAACTACCATGCATATACTCAAGTAATGTTAGTAGCACACATTTATTCATTTTTTAGGAAATAATCAAATCAAGTATTGCGGACATAACCTCAATCTTCTTTTTGAACCTTGGTAGTAAAGTTGAATTTCACTACCTCGAAATAAGTCGACAATTGCATGTTTCATGGCTACTGGTGAAAAAAATACCTTGTTGATTTGCTAATTTTTCCCCAAGTGTATTTGTAAGAGAATTAAACCTAGAATTTTTATATAAAATTATGAATACTTTACCTCCGTGGTACACATTGTCACAGTCAAATATGTTACACAGGGGTCTAGCTTGGGGCTCCACCATAGCTAGTATCCGGGCGTCCATATCTGATAGCTGTGTATTGCACTGTCCACCTCCTGTTTTAGATCTCTCTTTCTGAAACAAGCATATAACATACAGCACTGCATAATTTATCAAGTTTCCAAGTTATATCGCACTGTGAGAGCAATACTCACGTAAGTCAAAATTTGCCGAATTCTTAAATTTATCATTAATTTATAAAAAAATTAATGTAGTTTTCGTATATGTAAGTATAAACGGCTTTTAATAGCTGCGTACTGCTCAGATTAATCAAAATGTTTGTATTGCATTTCCGAAAGTTACATATGCACTTAATGCAAGACTGCCGTATCTCAAAAATAAATAAAATCTAAGTAAGCTATCATGAAGCGTTTGATGTTTCAGTCGATGTTGATAATCTGATATTAATTTAGGTACAAATTGAACACAAAAAATACACAATGTCTTCTGATATAGTTAAATCAAATGTGAAGTTAGTAAATTTTTGCAGATCCATTCTGTTCAAGTTTTATTTAATTTGGGGTTGTTGTCCGCCTCTTGGACGTCTGGAGTGTATCATTAGGAGACTGAATGGTTATGGTTACGACATGTTTCGACTTTATTAATTAACGTCCTCAGATTTTGTATAAATCTCGGGCATATTAATTATTAGTTTTATCAATGTATTTTCATAAATTTTAATATCCATGTTACTAGCTTGTTAAACATAAGCCGATGATGACGTTAATTAATAAAGTCGAAACATGTCGTAACCATAATCATTCAGTCTCCTACTAATGATACACTCCAGAGGTTCAAGAGGCGAACAACAATCCCAAAGTGAAGTTAGTAAGTTATAGATACCAGTAATAGGTTTAGCAAGAAAAACTGGAAAGCCAAAGTTCATGAAGTAGAGCAGAAGAATATTTTTAATATAAAAGAATTGACCGAAAACATGGGAATAAATTTTTCTTTGAATGGTAAAGATGGGAAAGTTAATTGGAGCGAAATAAAATTTTTAAAATTCTTATGTACAAAAAATTTAAATACATCAGACTGTCAGACATTTATAAGAATTTAGCCATAACAGATGTTGAATCAATTAATATTGTGATTGTTTTGTATTTTGTTATATTTTTTTCATTAAAATGTCTTGCTAGTTTGCTCTTGTCTTAAATTTATTAACACGCAAGTCAAAATATTTGGTATTGTGTACCAGTGCAATAGATTTAGATTTAGATTTATTTGTAACGGAATCTCCAATTTACATTATGAATTATTAAACTAACTAAATAATACATATTCTAACAGAGTGTTCCCTAATAAGTAAATTCAAAAACAAAAAATATTCATGGCTTGGCGTTTACTAATTTGAATACAATAAATAAGGAACTAAAATCTACTGTTATAAAATAACAAAATTTTGAATTTAAATTTGGACAAAGAAGAATCAAATATCGATATGTTGCTGTTGTTCGAATAATCATTTGCAGCTAGCATCATTCTATGTAAAGGATGATTACGACCTATATTCGACGTAGATGGTGCTACCCTAAAAATATCTTTACTTCGAGTTGTGCGGCTGTTGACGGCAGGGTACAAGAAGGAGAGTCTTGATAGCAGCGATGGATTGTCAATACGACCATTTAATATTCCGTGCAGAACACAAGCATCCGTTGTATATCTTCGAATATATAGGGGTTGTATATTAAAATGATGTTGAATCCAATTGTAGTCGCCTTTAATATGTTTGAAGCCAACTTTAAATTCGAGAGCTCTTAAAAATTTTTTCTGAGGATTTTCTAGCAACTCCCGATCAACATTATATAAAGGTGACCAAACAGGTGAACAATAATCTAAGTGTGTCCGAACTAAGGAGCAATATAAACTTTTGAGGACCAAAGGTGAAAGCTCATGACAATTTCGCCAAATAAACCCCCACATGTTCAAAGCTTTTTTGGATATATAGGAATAATGACTTTTAAAGGAAAGTGATGAGTCGAAAATTACTCCTAAATCCTTAATCTGAGTCACACGTTTAATACAACGCTTATTCAGTTGGTACTTAAAACTGATGTTAGATTTTATGTTAAAAGTTGACATAATATAACACTTATCTAAATTTAAGGGGAGTAAGTTGTTACTGCACCACTCAAAAAGCATATCAAGATCTAATTGTACTTGTTCTAAATCTTGTGTATCTCGAATGACTTTAAAGATCTTTAGATCGTCCGCGTACAACAAATAATTTGAATATCGTAAACACTGCGTTAAATCATTTATGAATAACAGAAATAGAACGGGTCCGCAATGAGTACCTTGCGGAACACCAGATGGAACAGAGAAAGACGACGAAATAAAGTTATCAATGCGAACTTGCTGGCACCTGCCTGACAGAAAAGATGCTAACCACTTAATAGTGTTATCTTTGAAACCAAGTTTATCCAGCTTTAAAAGTAATAGTTTATGATTAACGCGGTCGAACGCTTTTGCGAAATCAGTATACACTGAATCGACTTGCAAATGATTAACCAATGCTTCGTTTAGAATTGATCGATATTCAAGGAGATTCGACAATGTGGACCTGTTAGAGACGAAACCGTGTTGTTTAGATGAGATAACTGAAGACGAAGCCCACTGAAGTTGCCTAGTTACAATGGAATCAAGTAACTTTGGAATTGCTGATTGACAACATACACCTCTGTAATTTTCAACTATATTACGTTTACCAGATTTAAAAATGGGCATAATGAAGCTGTTCTTCCACATTTTAGGGAAAATACCATCCCTCAAAGAGGTTTCAAACAACAAAAGCAGTGGTGAACAAAGAGCAAACTTACAGTTTTTTATAAGGATACTTGGTATACCGTCAGGACCTGGACTGCACGAAGATTTCAATTTAGAAATTTCATCGAAAATATCAGATAAACAAATCTTTAGACCCATATCATTTACATCGTAACTGGATTTGAAATCACAAACAAAATTATTGGAATCATCTTTTACGTAAACACTTGCAAAGTATTGAGCAAAAGCATTGGCTATCTCTTCCCCACCTTTAACACATTGATGTCCAAAATTCATTTCGTTGGGGATGTTAGATTCTCCATGTTTTTTACTATTAATAAATTTCCATAACAATTTCGGATTACTCACCATATTACGATTGACGTTTGAGATGTATTCGGCATATACCTTCTCAATGAGTTCATTACACCGATCTCTCAAAGATTTAAAATAAAGGTAGTCATCAAGTTTGCCGGTGTTTTTAAATGTGCAATGAGCAGTGGTTTTCAACCGACATAATTCTTTAAGTTCTTTATTAAACCAATAAGGGTATTTACTAGTTTTACGATTGATCACTTTATAGGGAATAAATTTCACTATGCCATAAAATAAAATCTCATAAAAGATAGCAACTTTTTCGTCAAGATTTTGACCCACCAAACACGATTCCCAACAAACAGATGAGTAAAAATGGTTTAAACGTTCATAGTTACCATTAATAAAATCAAAAATACGAAAATCAGATTTCAAAGAAGGTGCAGATAAACAGGAAAGAGACCAAGAATAAGGAGAATGATGACAACTACTAGGAAATATGGGATCTAATGCAGAGCAGACATCAAGATTATCAACGTTTGAAAATACAAGATCTAGGAATACATTTCTCATATTAGGAATTTTATTAATTTGCGTCAAATTCATTAGAGCACATGTAGAACTAATTAAATCATATTCAAGAGAATTGTTGAGACCACATTCACCATCATCATTCCAATCAATATGTGGTAAGTTAAAGTCACCAGCAATAACATACGACGACTCAGGAAAACGATCAAAAATTGATTCTATGTCTTGACAGAAGTTAACATAAGAAGTAAAATAACTTGCAGGAGGGATATATACTCCACCGACAATTAAGTTTAAATCATGATATTTTACATGGATGTAAATACTTTCGATAAAGTTTCCAAGAAGAATTACCACAGATTCGAATTCCTTTTTTACAGCTATCAGTATTCCACCTCCACGTATTTTATTACTAGTATTAACATTTCGATCGGCCCTAAATATATTATAGTTGTTTAAATTTATTTCAGAACTAGTAATGTTATCACTAAGCCAAGTTTCAGAAATAATAATAATGTCATAAACACAAGAGCTAACCTTAATTGCGAAATCCTTTAATTTAGACCTTAAGCCACCAGCGTTTTGGTAATAAAAACTAATTACTTTTTTGGATGAGTACCCCGAGAAATATTTTTTTCAACAATATATGGCATATTGTTTTTATATCTCAACATAACGTTAGTATTCCCTTGTGCAACCTTATCCTTAAATTCTTTCTGTATTGAATTATTATAATCTCGCTGTATTTTTGTCAAATCAGGGCGGAAGTGGTGATTACGATTATTATTATTCTTATTTGATCGTAGGACATCTTTAGCTATATCGTCGTTTTCATAGACGATCTTTAAAGGGCGAACTACATTAGGCTTAGGCATACCAACTCGAATGATTTTCTTAGGCTGCGGAAAAGAACCTAAAGGCGCAAGAATAGAATTTACTTGCAAAAGATCATCCTGAAACTTTTCTTCTGAATTCGATGAAATAGATTCACTTATATTGAACAGCAAAACGTTAGTACTCCGCGACTTACGCTCTTCAATTTCTGATACAACAGTATTGAAGTCCAAAGGGTTATCCATTTTTACGTTAGATTTTTTAAATTCTGTCCATTCGTCTTGAATCAAGCGTACATTTTCTTCAACTGCAGATAATCTATCCTTAATTATTTTAAAATTATCTTCAATAGTTTGTTTAATCTCAAGCTTAATAGTCATCAATTGTGATCTAATAATTTCCTCCAACTTTTCAGCAGTAATAGGTGCACTACTGGAACTAGAAGCTGTAACACATTTCGAACACACCCAATGAGACTTTTCATTTATTATATTAGCCATATCAGAATCTCCTAATTTCAAGCATTTTAAGTGGCAGTATTTTTTACATGGGCCATTACATTTCGTGGAGGGTGTTGTTGGTGTTATGGCACCCTCACAATGTAAACAAAAGTTGGTCATATTGAAAAATAAACAAGAACGGGGACACAATTCTTCTCGCACCAATGGAGTCCGTCGTGGTGACTAACAGAGTGAGACAAACACACTTGGACTACGGTAGTGTTAACACAGAAGAAACAAAGATTGCAGTATAGACCAAATTATTTCAATTAACAGAGGCTTGATAACGTTAGTCGAAAAAGATACAGTAAAAAGGTGAACTTAATTTAGTTAATTAATACTAAAATGCTACAATGCCACTCTATCAAAAGTGGAAGAAACTCACACAGCACATAGATCGCCAATACTCAGATGCACTGTCCAAAATTCAGCAATTATCAGCGTAGCAAACCACCAAAAATTCGGGAAAACTCAGGAGCACATAGATATAATAAATTACCACTACCAATAGTCACATAAGTAAAAATTTCTTGTTTTCTATAACGAGTAGAAGGTTCTACTCTAATGGCAAAAAACACAATTAATAATAATAGGTTGACAGTATGACTATAATGTATTCCTAAGTATTTCGTATTTAAAACACAACTAATATGTATATAAAAGCTTGGGAATGTTAAATCATCATGTAACTCAAAAACAGGTGACTATTGCTCTCACAGTGCGATATGGAGAGTAATCCTAAAAAAATCTTTTTGTTAACACTTCATGCACAAACGCATTTATGATTAAATTTTTTAATTTTAGGAGTACAATGCCCTACAATCACATTTTTTGACATACTATAGACTGTACATTCTCGTCCATTTTCAATCGTTTCAATGAAGCCACGTATTCACCATCATACTCCTCTTGACTTTCGAGGTAACGTTTTTTCTAAAATTGAACAAAAAATGTGTTGTATAGAAATATTTTCTGTTATGCTCACATTTTCTTCGGCAATTGATTTTTTTGTGGTCCTTTTTATATTGGCCCACAAGACCTTTAGTTGCTTCACAGTTCGGGGGGCTGTCTGGGATGTAGCATTGCACTCGTGCATCACTTTCTCCCATGCTGCCTGTTTATCCCGATGGGAAGTGGCGTCTGTTACTTTGTTTTCGAGTTGTGGGCGATATCTAATGAAAATGGATTGGTTAAGGAACGGGAAAGGATATATCAAATGTGATCCATGGTAATCTTAGCAAGAAAGAATGTAAGTAGGCAAAAACAAGGTTGCTCTAAAAGTCGCCAAATACCTGTATGAACACTACGATATGTTAGATTTTAAAGAAAGAAAAATAAAAATTCCAAATCCAAATTAATCTTGTGCTATATTCCTTTGCATACATCCAGAGAACACTCGGTACTTCTGAGATCCAGGTATTCAAGAAGTAACAAAACACCGAAACAAATTTATTCCACTTGCATCTACGTACCGTTCTATAATTTCGACTACTGCCTCCTTCTCCTTCTCAGTGAAGTTTCTTCCACGTTCTCTTTTTGCCTTTTTGTCCTCCATAATACAGTGGAAACAGAAACACGCACGGAAAACTAACGTTTTCGTTTGTGAGTAGTCTTCTAAAGTTTCGCGCGTCTCACTTTTATAGGTTATGTTTTTAATTGCGCGACCGCGTTGACAGTTTTCTGACGTGAAATAGGTACCAACTTTGCGTAAGAATTGGTTACCACAGACTACATGGTTACATTTTTAATTCGCTGATAGTTAACAACGTGATTAATTTTTCCAAAAATTGATATGTAAACCGCAATTAGTTTAATCACGAAATTAAATTAATTTTATGATTAACTTAATCAAAAATTAAGCCATGTTATATAAACCCACCCTAAAATTATTAATTAAGCCACAATGGAACAAAATGTTTTGAATATGATTATTATTATTCTTATTTAATCATAATTACATAAAAACGTGGGTATTTTCACATTTTCTAGAAGATGAGGTTCTTAATTTAATCAATAAAAAATTGGTGGCAGGTTATAAGTAGAATCCAACAAATCGAGACCTTTAAAAAAATTATAAAATTTTATTTTACGATTTTCATTTTGTGATAACAGCTATAAAGTGAAAACCAGGGGAATAATAACCACCCCGCAGCCACTGCGTCATACGGACAATGTGAAATATATTTAAAGCACGCTACTAACGGGATAAAATGTCCTTCAGTAGTAGGTAATAGCAATCTAAAGTTCAAGTGTTTATTTATGTTTATATGTCGAAACAATGTCATGAAAAAATTAGTTTCATTTGAATGAGTTTGTCTTCTCAAAACAGAGGACTAAAATTATTAATTAAACCACATTTGAACACAATGTTCTGAATATTATAATTCTTATTTTATGGGGTGACTCGTTCTTAATTTGACTATTAAAAAGTTGTGATGACGTTATCAACATAGATAATTTTAGTCACAGCACAAAAGAAAAGTAGTCACAGCGTTACACCAATGCAAGAAAAAAAAGTAAACGGCCAAGTTGGGCATCGAACCCACAATCCCAGTACCGCAGGTGGTCGTTCTCCCTGATACATCCACTGCGCCACCAACTCGTGTTGGGAATAAAACGTTATTATACTTTGCGAATGTTTTTGCGAAAATTTAACAAAAAAATTGAAAGCGGATTCGTACACTACAAGTATAGGAGTATATTTTTGTGTAACATTCAAGTAATTTTGAAATACATTTATTGAAATGACGTCATCAAATTGTTAGTGGAGATGATTAGCCAAATTTTGGTTAGTATTTCTAATATACATACAAAATTTGACAATAATCGATCCAGCAGTTTCATACGTTACGTGTCTAATAAAAATGAAAATAGACACCAGACAGACACACAGACACACAAACAGACAGACAGACAGACGAACGGAAACGGGAAACTACTTTTTTTGTACTGTATGAGTCATGAAGTGTCGAGAACACATAAAAATAAGACAGCTTTGGGCCTATTTTTTTTTAACACACGGTATGGGTATCCCAGAGTCACTATTATTCATAAGGTTGTGATGTATTCGAAAAATAATTTTAAAAATACAACAACATCCAAAAAACAAGCACAAATTAGACCCCGTATCCCTCAGTCCGAGATGTTATTAATTTGACTGATGAAAATTTTCAAGGTCCTTTTCTCTCAAAATGGATCAACGTTTAAGATTAGTTTAATTACCATAAATGAACTATTAGAAATCTCGAAATTTATGAAATGCGGATACTGTAATCTGATAAGCTAAGTAAAAACATCTAGAAGTTTTAGATCATGGTAGAAGGAGACATGGTATAGGCATACGCATCGGGTGTGACGTCAAGTGGGGTGAAATTAGCGCGAAATTTAAAATACAATTCGTTATCCGACAACTAATTGACGTATTGGACAGAGCAATGACAACTCAAGCTGAAATTCCCTAGACTTCCCTAGCGAAGCTCACAAGAATCACAAGGTCGTTGATGCCACCTAACGTCACAAATGGATGCGCAGACCATTTTTAAATTGGTACATCGGATGCCTATACCATGTCTCCTTCTACCATGTTTTAGATATATCGTTCATATAAAATAAATTAGCCTGAATAAGTTTTTTTCAGGAACATTTTCCATGATTGCTGGAAAATTATATTCTTAATATTAAATTTACAGACCAGACCATTAAACATTTTACATGTTTATGGAATAGTTAAAGTTTTCCACATTTCAAATTAGAAAAACATTAATAAACTGATAATATTACACTCATGATACACTCTATTATGTCTTCTTTTATGGGATTATAAACTAAATTTAACGTACAATTTATTTTAATACTTGTCATTACACTCACTAAAAATCCACCAAATATCTACCTTAAATAATAATAATCTACCATAATAATAAATGAAAAGATTAATAGGTACAGTAACGTTAGGAGGATTCATAATAATTTGGATATTCAATTTCAACAATTGAAAGTATCGCCAACAGTATATCACCGAAACTCAAAATACCCTAAGAATTTTAAAATAAAACTGATGGAATTTAATCTAACCTCACTTTATTTCGGAATTCTTTGTTTATATTTCGTTAATGTTTTAACTTTTTTTCTGCTATAATGAATGACTTTTTAGAAGTTTCTAGTGATTCTAGTGATACTATTATTCTTTCGCCAAAGGACAATTTTTTACCAGAACAACTTGACAACGAAGATTCTGATGTTGAAGCTCTTGTAAATAAATATATTTCAGAAAATGCCTTAAAAAATCTCTCTGAAGATACTGTAGTAGTTGAAGAACAGTTTGACCATGAAGATTCAAGTGTCCCACGTACTAAACGACTAAAAACATCAAACGAAAATGAATTTTCAAACAATCGATCACTTTCGAGTAGTTCCAGTTCTCAAGAAGACATTACAAATGAGGCTGAAACATTACAGGTGTTGCAGGATAAATATAAACTAACTGCTGTTAAGGAATATGCTAAAAATGACGGTAAATATAAATTGATAATAAAATTAATTAATTATTTAATTTTATAGAATTATTTTATTTTATAAACTTGTAGTGATATTAAAGGAAAATGTCAAACCAGTAAACAACAAAGATCTGAAGAAACAAGAAAAAGAACTACACAAACAAGAGAGAATCAGAGAGAGGGAACAAAAGAAAAAAGAAGCAGAGCAAGAGAAAATTATTAAACAAAGTCTTGCCGCCGCTTACAAAAACGTTAAACCTACAGAATGTATGAAGGTTGGTTCTTTTGGCCATATAGTGGATTACATCCACAAGAAAGGTGTATATTTGTGTTTTAGACCTTTCTTAACAATGTTTGTATCATTTACAAAATAGTTTTATTTTTGTATAGTGGTTTTAACAAATGTCTAATTTTTTACAACGGCAACGAAGATGATAAATTACGGAAATGTACATTTCCCTTTCACTCTATAAAACTTTTAAAGTTCTTTCTCTAAAAATTCGTATTTTTAATGTTATTGTGTTAAGTATTAAAACGCTTATTTAATACCTCCGCAAAATTAATGACGTCATCTCAAAAACTTTTAGTTAATTAAACCTAATTGAAGAATACTCATACATACTATATTTTAGTTAGGCAAAAAAAAATGTTTCAAAAACGCATCAAACGATTGAGGTAATGATTTAATAATTTATTACTTTATTGCATAGTTTATTACTGTTGGAATAGACGAATGCATATCCACTCAAGAGTACAACAATGAGATAATAAATGCATTGCAAGAAGCAGGGGTCCAATACAGAATTCAGTCCCAGATATTTCCAAATACAATCAACTGGACCAGGAAAACGCAGTCACATTTTCTTAATGATGACGGAAAAGTATGCGCAATATTTTACAAGATTATAAACTGACTACTTGTTTTAGTTAGTATTAAATTCGCAAGACCAGAGTGCTAATGAAATATTGCTTATAATGAACTGTAAAAAATTCGTAGAACACGTTAGCGGTGATACTTTATCTGGGTATATACAATCCTTGCAGTCTGTTCTAGATAACAAAACAATCACATTGGCAATATATGGTTTACAAAGTTACTGTAAGTATCGTATTTCGTTTTAATATAAAGTCAATTGAACACTAGTTAGGTTCCTGAAAATTCGTAATCAAAGAGAGAGAAGGGCGCAACTAACTGATGAACAACAGAAACAAACAACTTCTAAAATATTCTTTGATGACTACCCAAAAGTTACCAAAGAAACTATAGATTATAAACTTACAGAATTGCAGTTGTTATGTTCTTGTTCACACCGTTTAATAGAATCAGCTTCTGACATGGGTTTATTGGTAACTCAATTCACTAAAGCTGTAGCTGAGGTTCCATTTAAGTAAGAATACAAGAACAATTTAACAGAGATAAATTTCGGTTTCTTAGACTCCAAAGATATGAAAAATTTCAACAGACAGAGTGGTTTGTAGCTGGTGATAACCGCGACTGTGTTAAAGTTGATAAAAATGGCAATGGTTTAAACAGACTTTGGAAGCAAATGCTAACAACGTTTCCTTTGGCAAGATTGGAGACTGCAGAAGCAATTACTTCCCAATACCCCACTGTATCGTCTTTAATAACGGTAAAAATTATTTTAGAGCATGAACTGATTTTCACATAATTGTTTTTTTCCTAACAACTCCTTATTAACATTGATTAAAAAACTCACATTATTAGTATTATTATAATTATGTAGTCTGCATAAGTAGACTTTTATAGTTGACAGGCTTATTTCTACAGGCGTACCAAAATTCTGAGTCAACTAAGGCAGCTGAATCCTTATTGCAAGATATCCCTATTCGAAGAGCGGCGGGTCCTTTAACATCTACCCGGAAAATCGGACCTGAACTTAGTAAAAAAATTTGGAATTTCTTTACTTCTACAGATGGAAATACACAGCTTTAAATAAAATATATTCAAATAAATATTGTGCTTAATAGTAAAAACCTATCCAGCCTTATAATAAGTGAGCAAACCGTACACCTATTAATCAGATAGATATGCAACTAATAATACACCATCTATTCAAAACTAGTATCCCGATCACGTCACTGCCTTTGTGGTTAGAATCACATTAATTATCTATTTATCTCGATATCTTTACTATTTATCTAGGAGAAGATAGTACACTACGTCCGATGCGATTTCGTCAAATAATTTCCAATGGAAGAAGTGCTCTTAGATTTTGCCAACATACCAGTGGAGCCTCCTGACGTACGAAGTACCTGCCTCCAGTGCGAGTAAATAATAAACCATACATCTTAAAGACTCTTTCCAATGTTATAAAATAATTACAGGCGCCCTACTAGTGTTTGTTGGTGCGTATCTTTACCAACACCGCCATTATGCCCCAGGAGCCGAATAATTCTTCTTCAGCACCCAGCAGAAGAAAAACGCTGTTTACGAACAGCCCCCATGTTACGTTTTGGATTGAGTGAAAACAAGTGTTTAATTTATAAAGGGAAACGTTTTCCTGGCCGCCATAGAGATTTGGAGACCATACTGCAAGAGCCTAACACAATTTTACTTTATCCTAGTCCAGATGCAGTAGACTTAAAATCTCTTCTCCAAAATAACAACGCCGAAACTAGTTTTAATTTAGTATTAATTGATGGAACGTGGCCTCAGGCTAAGGCTATATTTTCCAGTAATCCTATTTTACATAAAATTAAGCAAGTTAAACTGATCACCCATAGTGTAAGTAATTATATAATACGGACTCAGCCTACTGAGGGGTGTCTGAGTACGTTAGAGACGGCTACAGAGGCCTTAATTTTATTGGAGAACGACGACGGTTACAGAAACTTACTTCGGCCACTGCAGACTTTGTGTGATTTTCAGCTGCAGAATGGAGCTGTGTCACACCAAAGTAAAGAGTTTTTAATTTCAAATAATCAGTATCCTAAACGGATTGGAAAGAGGTTGAACAAGGTACTACAGTCAGCTCAAGTTTTTCGAGAGGAAAAATAATTTCTTTTGATGAGCCAAGTAACACATGATGGAAACAAACTGACGAAAGTTGAAATCAAAAGTAAGATATCGAAACGCACAAACGAGATAACCCTAGAAATACAGCGAATGTGTACATTTTGTAATAAAAAAATCCGTTGAAAATTATCTTTCTGATTACCACATCCTATATTCATTTTACAGTTTTGTAAAATTCAATCGTCCTAATTATGTGAACAATGAAACAACCGTTGAAAATGATAAGGTTGATAAGAGTTTTCTCCTAATAACGACACGCCCCTTTCTTCTAGCCATTACTGCCACTAGGAAAGTAGATTACGTTGTGTAGAGCAGGTTATCGTCAAAGATATTGAATAAGTATAGATACAGTCAAAGTGTGACCAATATCTCTCGAGTGAGAGGTTTATTCCCCCGCGGTACAGTTAATGTGACTCGATCTTGAAATGTGTGGCAATTAGTAACTTTTATGAAATAGAAATATATCTGTGTCCTTGTTATGCTCCGTCTTTTCGACAGCAGGTATTTTTTGCTTCCAGTATGGCGATCCTGTTACTGTCATTTGGCCGTCAATTGCCTTGGTGGTAACACGTCTTCCACGACTGTTTGCTGGTTACCGGTGACACTTTCTCGTTGAATAGGACTGGAGTTACTTTGTGACTGGAATAATGTTCTTTCCGGTCCGTTAACTCAATAATTCTAGTACAGTCTGTCGTAACCTCAAATCGTAAACACATCAAACTTTCGTTGACAGATAGCGAAAATTACTAGCCTCGCGCTATCTTTGTTTAACACATAGGTTAGGTTCCTCTCTGTCGAATTCCGACCACAGGCAGTTTGCCGTACTTTCTAAAAGTAATAGTAGATCTAGTGACTTTAGGTACAGTGGCAGACGAGTTTCAGTTTAATATAATTTCAAAAAAAACAAAAGTGTGGTTAGTACTGTGGTGACCGAATTTGAATTAGAATTTCGCGCTGAAAAAAAATTAACAGCGGCGCGAAATTGCATTTGAATAATTTGAATTTGAAAAAAAATCCAATCAAAAAATCGTTAAACATAAGCAACTATGTGCACGTTGGCGCTTTTTGGGTAGTAGGTAGTTCTGCTTGGAATTTTAGTTAGGGGGTTGGTAGAAGAGGGCGGCTTGGTAGAGAGGTGAGAGGCTTCACTGTGTGTTGTGAGTGAAAACCACGTGGTGAGTTAGCTGGGTTAAGTTTAGTTGGTTTCGTGGTTAATAAAAGGGAGGAAATCTTTGTTTAACGACAATTAATCGTAACGACGACGACATCACAGTTTCCCCAACACGCGTAGCTAACTCTTGCGGCTTCTAACGCGTACTGTAAATTTGTTTAATTATTTGTAAATTCACAGATCAGGTTAGGATTTTAATCATTAACTGGTTCTAACACAATTTAACAGACACTAGATTTGTTCAGACTGAGCACTTGCAGACGAGTTTTCATGAAATTCACTTAGTCAGGATAAATAAATCCCTTTGTTTACAAAGTTATGGATAAGTTTATAGATGCTTATAGTTACTTAAGTGTTACATTATAACACTTCTTAATTCCTCACACAAGATTGCTAATAGTTTATTTACCGCAGTTAAATTAACCTAAGGTTGCCCCAGTCTGGAAAAGACCGTGGAAAGTGCGGTAGAATTCATAATATCGTGGACTGAGATACGGGGAGATTACAAATTTTTCCCTTTAGGCAGATATCACCCTTATTATCATCATCACATCATCGAGATATTTCCCTCACAACGTCGTGATAACCCAAAGTTCCCGCCTTTAAATTGACCTTGAAGAAGTTTGAAAGGTCCGCGACAAATTCAAAGTATGGCCTTGGCTGTGATCGTCTAACAAAAAGAAAACCTACGTTGTATGTGTTTTTTTTTTTAAACATGGCGGAAAGACGTTCTTTCATACAAGTGAGCATACACTACGTGTGATTCGAGAGCGCAAGAAATAATAGACAAAATTGTTTTGGAGGAGCTAACATGGCACCCCTCTCAGGAGGAAAAAAGCTGTGAGGATTCACTCCTCAGCCCCAAAAATCCCCTATCGTATATTCACGGACATATTACATTTCAAACACCTTAAAAATATGAAAGAAAAGACACTCGCAAATTGACAGACATACACATATGAAAAACGAACAAACACGAAATGCAAATATTTGAATATCACAAATTTAATAAAAACAAAGCAAAATCTGAATTAAAGTAACTGAATGCAAATACACAAGTTATTACGGACGTGTGGCATCAAATTTAAAGTTACAGCAGTTAACAGGAGCAGAACAAAAGTACCCCTGGGGCGTTCTAGCACAAGCGGAGTTTGGGGCTACCGGTCTGGGGCTGTTCTCCCCCCTCGACGGTGATTCTATCTATCGCAAACCTACCCGTGCAGCATATTACACATCTCTAGGACGAACATGCCGTCCGAAACTAGGCCATTACGATCGCAGATGCGCAGTTAGGTCTCGACTATTGGGCCAAGTCGAGAGGACTACAACATCGCAACCGCCTCTGAATCTATCCAAACCTGTACCCTTTGTGCAGGCGACGCGATAAGATCTCTCCAGCTCGACTAAGAACCACACTTCGCTCCTGCCACGTTTTCCGTGTTATTTAACCTCAGTTCCATTTTAAATGTTCAATGTCTTATAACTCTGATATTAACAACAACTGAACAAGTGTTAAGGTTTCAAAAGAGCAATAAATAACATTTAAATTCGCCATACAATCTTGTGAAATTTTAAACAACAAATAATTCTTATGTGAGATTAGATTTGGACATCAGATAATTTATACGGTGGAAACATTCATCAACAAAGTATTTACACAACAAAACTTAGCAAAGATTTATGAAACAAAAGATCTAGTGTGAAATCAACTTGTGCAAATAAAAATTTTATGTGAGGTTAAAACTGGAGAGCATGAAATTTACGTTCAATTAAAATTATACAACAAAGGAAAATTACTAAGGTTAAAATTGTGAGATTAAAGAAATATTGCATGAGGTGAATAATTGCAAAGTTAACGAAATTTACATGAGATTAAGATTTGCCACACTTTATCAACGATTCAAACAAAGAGTTTACATTATGTCAAATTATATCATGATCTAAGTGACTGGTTACTTAAAAAAAAACAATTTACTTTGAGAGTTTAGCATACCGCGAACTGGTTACCCCAACAAAACACATAATAAACAGACACAAAAATATCCAATCATCGTTGCGAGGAAAAAGCGTCTCGGTGATGTAAATTTTTATCGTTGCAAGGGAACACCTCGATGGTGTTATTTTAGCGTTGCGAGGAATAAACTTCGTTGATGTTATCAATCTGCAGCGTTGTAATGTAATCAATCTTTAACGTTGTGAGGGCAAGCCTCGATGATGTGATCAATCTGTAGCCTTGTGAGGACAAGCCTCGATGATGTAATCATGATAAAGACGATAATAACACGATGATAACCGCCTAAGGGAAGAAATTATTTTAATCGCCCGCCAGTTCGCAGTATAATGAATTTTGTTTAACTACCGTAAATGAACTATTAGCAATCTTGTGTGAAGAATTATGAAGTGTTATAATGTAACACTTACGCATATGCATCTAGAAACTTATTCGTAATTAAACAACAAAGGTATTTTCCTGACTAAGTGAATTTGATGAAATCTTCTAACAATTGGTTTATTTAAATAATCCTGATTGTTAAATTGTGTTTGCACTAGCTGACGAGTAAGAAAAACTAACTTGATTGGTGAATTTACAAACAATAAAACAAATTTACAGCACATGTTTCGCACTTTTTCGATTAAAAGGCCGCAAGAATTAGCCGCGCGTAAACAAAGGCTTCCTCCCTTTTATTAACTATCAAACCAACTAGTTTAAACTAGCTCTTACCCTTAGATCATATAATAAATAGATACCACCATGCCGTGTTCTTTCCCTAGGACAGCCTGTGACGACATCCTACTGTCACACATCTCTCTCGTGCATGGAGGGATTACAATGGAGCTATCCTTGCCTGATCACTATTTGAATTTTGCGCGCCTAAATTTTAGGAAGTATGTCTGAACTAACTTCGGAAGAAAGATGTTGACAGCTTGATTTTATAAATAATTCACAGTAGATAACGAAAGGAATAGTAAATTATTTGGCAGCAATTGTGATCCTTTATGACTACATCACTTAAAATAGGATCTTTGTTCTAAATTCTAAAATTGTTTTTTGTACAACAACTCGAAAGAGAGGTTAGAAGAAACATCTGTCAAAAGCGATTTGTTGCGCTGGTGCGGTACAAGGATGGAAGTGAAATAGACATATACAGATGAAATGCATATAACAAAGATGAAGATGTGGTGATCACACAAGGATAGCATTATACTACTCCCCTGGACGTAGAAAACGACAACAGATAGCTTCATGTCTAGTCACACCTTTCAGTTTGAGTATTGGTATCTATTTATTATATGATCTAAGCTCTTACCACGTGTTTACGCTCACAAAAACACATTCAGACTGACGCTCCGCCACGCTGCCCTCCCTCTATCTCTACCAAACTAACTAAAACATGCAGAACTACCTTGGAGCCTGGGGGACTACATGCATATTTGGTTGCCTATGTTTAACAATGTCTTTTTTTGTGAGTGAATTTTTTTCCTCTTTCAAATTTAAATTATTCAAGTGTGATTTCGCGTCGCTGTTCATTAATTTCAACGCGAAAATTTTGATTTAAATTCGGTCACCACAACGTGGAAAACTATATCACCGAGACCTGTTTTTTCGCAACATGGATAATTACATCACCGAGACGCATATTTCCTCGTAACGCAGGACGCATTTTGTGTTTATTTATCATGTGTTTTGTTTGGGATAAACAGTACACGATATAAACTCTCAACGCTAATGGTTTTAGGTAGCCAGTCACTTGGATTAAGGCATAATTTAACGTAATGTAAACTTATTGTTTGAATCGTTGATAAAGTGTGGTATAATTTAACATCGGGTAAATTCTTTGTTCTGGCAGCGGCCATGTTGAAAGAGTATTTTCAAACCGAGCACATGTTTGAACTGTAAAATCTCGTTGAACAAATTAACAACTTTGTGGGTCATATGGGACGTGCATTTTATTCCTTCGATTTCGATCATTATTTGCACAACGTCACAGGATTGATCGCATTTCTAGGAGACATAATTTTGACGCATTTTAGACACAAAATACTATACTCATGTAATTTTGTTAGCTTGCAATTTTTCACCACATACAATTTTTCTCTATCTCACAATTTTAACTTCAGTAATTTTATTTTTTGTATAATTTAAATTGAACGTAAATTTTCATTCTCTGCACTTTCTAACCTCACGTAACATTTTTATCTGCACAAGTTTTACTCACACCAGATCATTTGCTTTTATAAATCTTTGCTAGTTTTTGTTTTGTAAATATTTTGTTGATTAATGCTTCCATCATAAAATTGTCTACTGTCCAATCTTAATCTCAGATAAGAATTCTTTGTTGTTCCAAATTTCACAAGAGCGTATGGCGAATTTAAATGTTGTTTATTACTCTTTTGAAACTTTGACACTTGTTCAGTTCTAGTTTAATATCAGAGTCATAGAAATTGAACATTTGAATGAAATTGAGGTTAAATAACACCGAAATACGTGGCAGAAGCGGAGGGTGCGGTTTCTATTCGAGCTGGCAGGATTTATCGCGCCATCTGCACAAAGGAAGCAGGCTTTGTATAGAAGTCAGGGGGGTCGAGATGACGTGACGCTGTCGATTTGGACCAATAGTTGAGACCCAATCACGAGTTTACAACCGTAACGACCTGCTCGTACGGCATGTTGGTAATGGAGATCTGCTGTGTCGCAGTGCTTGTGATAGATAGAATCACCGTCGTAGGTAGGAGAACAGCCACGACCAGGAGCTCCAAACTCCGCTCGTGCTACAACGCCCTCTATAGGTATTTTTGTTGTGCTCTAAAATGAAATTGACATAGTTAGATCGCCACACTCTTATAGCGCTCTGGTGCCGCTGCCGCTGCATAGTTTTTTATTAGAATTTTGTTCTCTTGTTGACTGCTACAATTTAAATTTGCCGCCACACGTCCGATATAACGTGTGTATATACAGCGTGTTATTGAAAGGTACGTACAAAATAAAATCGGCAATTGGTCTCGAAGTATGGGTGCTAATAGTTAAAAAACGTTCAGGTAAAAGTGTTCTTCTTTTAGAGATAAAAATTATAAAAAATTTTGTCCAAATTCGTTATACGCCTCTGATAACAAGATCATCTCTCGTTTCTATAACAACATTTAGTCTTGACACAAGTTGTATTGTTACAGTTGCTAGGATTTACTAAAATAAATTAATTTTACCTAATTTATCTCTCAGTAGCGTCTAAAAAAGTTGGATAAGGGTTAATCTTCCCCTTACAATTTTGATAACACAAAATAAGTTTTTCAGACTTCTTAGACTTCGCGAAGAACTGTCAATTTTGTTGTACGTAACTTTTAATAACACCCTGTATTTGCATACAGTTACTTTACTTCAGATTTTGCTTTGTTTTTATTAAATTTGTGATATTCAAATATTTGCATTGATTCAGAACGTCTAATTTGATTTCATTCAAAGTTTGGAAAGTTTTTTTTTTGCTGGGCATTAAGCGGTGTCTTTAACGGGCACAACTTAGTCGCAGCTTTTTTTTCGTCAGCAGAGGAATAAATAATTTCGTGTTTTATTTATTTCCATTTTGTTAGACGATCACAGCCAAGGCCAAATTTTTGAATTTTTAAATTTTTCGCGGGCTTTTCAATTCTTTTCACATATCAATTTAAGGCGGGATTTGGGTTATCACAGTACACTTCTCATACGTTCGAGTAAATATCTGGTCGTGGTCATTGTAAACATCCATTAAAATCTAGAACAATGACTAATGTATGTAATTCACTGAAATTAAAACTAATACATCGCAATAAAATCTAGTTACGCTACTGACCCGGTTCGCGCTTGTCCGTCCATTCACGAAATGTGTACGAACACGATGCGAACAGAGGAGAGGGTTTGCGTATGTGTGATACAAAACAATAAACACTGTAGTCCCTCTACACATAAAACTTCTTTGGTTATTCGACTGAACGAACATAACCTCACTTTATAAAAGTGACAATCATGTGACAAATGATGATTCTCTGACCACAGAATGTTTATTTAAAATTTAACGACTAATAATTAACGTAGTAATATTGTCACAGAAATGGATTACTACAAAATAAAATTCAACCCTTCCGTGCACAAAAAATATCTTTTGAGGATTCTTCGAGGGTTACCTGCTTCGTTACAGTCCATGGATACCCACAGGTAGTTGCCATAATCATACATTTTGCTTATTTATGTGACTTATTTTAGGATGCTTTTAACTTACTTTGCAATATCGGGTCTAGATCTTTTGAATGAATTAGGCAGTATTCCTAACAAGCAATCTATAATTGACTGGATTTATTGCTTACAAGTTTGTGATGATTCAGGTATTTATGATACATTTAAAAAATGTGGTTTAATAATATCTTGTAGAACTTGTTAGTGGCTTTCAAGGGTCTTCAACTCTTAACACACCATTTAATTGTGGTCAGAATGCCAATTACAAGTGGGGCCATATTGCTAACACGTATTCAGCATTAACAACGTTAATTATTTTAGGAGATGATTTGGAGCGCATCCACAGAGACTCTGTAATTAAAAGTAAGTTCTTAGTACACTTTTGTTAAAACTTAATGAATTTAAGTATATCGTTTGGTCATCAGTCTATAATAAATTTGAAATAATGTCATTTTTGGTTGATTATTTAGTGTAATATGAGGAAAGGTTTGAACAGTAGGGCAAGATCAATTATTTGCGCCTTTCCCACTTGTGAATTTTTCATTCTCGCCTAACTTCTTCTCATTTGTTTTAAATATTGTTGATTTACCTTCATTCCAAATTCTTTTTCAATGTTTTTTCCTACACTACATTTTTCATCATAATTTGTAGCGTGCTTGTTTCACCAAATTTATTATAATAAAAAGATAACATATGTGAGAATATTGTATGACTACCCATCACATACGTTAATAATTGCGTGATAATCTAAAGAAATTAAAAATGACCCCCATTTTATTATAAGTACATACTTACACTCAAGAAAGTTAGGTTATAATTTAGATTTGTGCCTTTAATTCTATGCATTTGTGACAGGTGAGGAACAGTCATTTTATTTATTAATCATCACAACGAAGCGGCAAAATCCGCGAAATTTCAAAATCACCTTGATGTACAAAGTTTTATAATCGCTTTGCTGATTGACAGATATGGTACGTCAAATTATTTTTGCAGGCGACCGACGTTAAAAGCATAAATTTCAGATTTCTTTGTCGTTCCTATTAAAACTGCGACAATTTTTTATTACCATAAAAAAAACTATAGTTCGTTGAAATTCTGGATGCCTGTAAGAAAATTTTAAAGGAGAAATATGTGTTAAATTTTGTCTGCGTCCTTCAACATTAGGACTGCTTTGTATAATCCACCACTTGTTGCATTACCTACATTCTTAACTTGTTGGTAACAGAAATGACAGTTTTGTTCCAAGCGGAAAAATCATTCGTTTTATATGTATAATCACACGCAAACAGAAGTTTTTGTGTTTTACCTTTAACCTTTGTTAACATTCAAAGATTTGTAGCGCTGCAATCCCTCTTTACATATAATGTATATAGTAAAATCATAGATGTTCTCTGGCAAAATTTACACACCGAATTTTGGACGCAATAGGTTACGGTAGATGTTGTAGTTTTAATTTGAGAAATTGCAAAATTTTTGCATTCGTAAACTAGGAATTATTGTAATAGCGTCTTGCTGTCTTGACGTTTTTGTACCCCTAAATTACGAAAAAGTAGGTTCTCCATTTCTGCCTGCCGTTGTTTGTCTTGTCTTGAAATTGGTTGTAATTATTTAAAAACCTTCGAATATTTTAGAAAAATGCGTGTTCTTTAATCCACTTTGCCTAACAAAACTATACATCCTAGGTCTACGCACACTACAGCTTCCCAATGGCTGTTACACAGGGGCCAAAGACGGATGCGAATACGACATGCGTTTCGTATTCTGCGCGGCCTGTATCTGTTACATTTTAGACGACTGGTCCGGCATGAACATCGATAAAACTGTGGATTTTATAATTAAAAGCATAGTAAGTTGTTTCCTTAATCACCAACTTTTCGCTAAAGAACACATTTGTAGTCATACGACTTCGGCATAGCACAAGCCCCCGAACTGGAATCGCACAGCGGCTCGACTTTTTGTGCCGTAGCAACACTAGCTCTCACTAAGCAACTGCACAGACTCTCCAAAACACAAGTAGAAGGACTGAAACGATGGCTGTTGAATAGGTTCGAGTACGGCTTCACAGGACGACCGAATAAACCGTCGGATACTTGTTACTCTTTTTGGACGGGAGGAGCTCTCAAAATTCTGAATGCATATCAGTTTATTGAAGCTGCTGATAATAATCAGTATATCTTAGTGACGCAGGATAGAAATGGTGGGTTTTCGAAATGGGTAAACACGGTTCCTGATCCCATGCACACTTACTTGGGATTGGCCGGACTGAGTTTTATGAAGGAGGAAGGGATAGGAAGCATTTTTCCCGATTTGAATGTTTCTGTGAGGGCGCATGAGCATTTGAAGAGTTTGCATAAGAAGTGGAGGGAGGGGTGAAGATGGAGATTTAATTTTAAGGCCAATTGTGCTGTCAGAGCTTTATAAAGTGGAAACACATATACAATAACTACTATAATTTTTACAAATTAAAAATAATAAATGTTTTTAAAGAAAAAGTTTGTTTGAATTGGCTTAGTAACTGTCAAAAAGACAGGTAAAACCGTTGTGGAAAAGGTCAGTTATTTATTATTTTTACTTCCCGAGCGTAAGCGACGGAAGCATTGTAATCGAGTGCGTCGGCCGACTCTACTTTTACGTTTTCCCCTAGAGTGCGAAAAAATAGGTCTCCCGTTTCCGTCTGTCTGCCTGCCTGTCCGTCTGTCCGTCCGTTCGTCTATCTGTCTATCCGTCCGTCTGTCTGCCGTCCCGATTTTTTTATATACGCATATTTAATAATTAAATGTTAAGAGAAACTAAAATAAACACTATAATGTCCAATAAACTCGTACCATGTTTAGGATCACATTCTTTGAAATGTGCAAAATTTTATTAGAATTAGAAATCACTCAAATACTGATGGTCATGTTGCATATCGCATAAATCCGGACTAGTACTGTCTCAGCTGTGGTCTAGAAAAAGACAACCAACTTCATTCGGAAGCAGCATTTCCAGTAAAGGAAGTGGTGGAAAACTCGGACGCCAGTTTTTATTGTGGTATGTTTTACTCGGACGAATCTCGAGTTAACTTGATGGAAAAAGGTTTGGTGGTCAATCAGAAACCAAAACTTGCTTTATAACCACAAATTTCATAGGTATGTACTAAGAATTTAACTTCACCGACTACAGTTTTGGAAACGTCAAAAACTATTTAAATTTTAAGATTTTGTAATGGGTTTATATTAAAATTTTTACCAGCATGCAACTAGTATTCAAAATTCATACCAAACTTTCTAAGATTCCACGTCGCCTTGTAGATTTAAATAGAAACAGCGCTCCATGACAGTGGAGTCTTGCTCAGCTTGAAACATACGAAAACCAGTAACTAGTGTTAACTGTCGTACCTATTCTTCAGTGTAGCGTAGACATATTATACTTCAGATAGCCCTTACGCTCTTGGCTCTTGGAAAAATGGTTCCATTACAAGGTTTCAGTTATAGTGTAGGCAGTGAAAAAGCTTCACGTATATGTATTTGAGTATTTGAGTAAGTAGGTACCTTACCTTATCGCCACCACCTACTTACTACCAACCTACCCTTAATCTCTGGACACTTTGGCTGCATGTCGAATAGGTACTCTCCAAAGTGAGCAAATGTATAAACAAAAACTTAGCCTTGTTGCTACACGCTATTTTCACAAAAGAGGTCCCATTATGCGCTAACCAAAGTCTTCATTTCCAAAACCAAAATCTGATACTCTGTTCTTCGCAATGGACGGGCCCAGTGTTAGAACGAGTAGCGCGAGGTGAGAAGCAAAGAGGCAGTGGCAAGGATTTACCAGTACCTACTTGAACACAAGATTCATTGTACGTGCATGAGATTGGATTTGAAAATGTAGGGAAAAGCTTTTCGATTTTGGTTTTACCCGCCTTTGCTCTAAAAGGTGGGAAACTACACTTTGGATTTTCTTATAGCAACCCCAGGCATATTTTTTTGAGACTACACGCCCGACTGGCGGACCAGCAATTTCTTGCCTAAAAGAACCCATAGATTTTTTACTACAAGGATCAATAACCCGATTTCCGAGATCACCTTCAGATGGCGTATCCATCGAAAACCATTTACTACTTACTTTCCATGGCATCGCATAATCATATCGCGCTCATTACTTTAGACTTTCTTCAACGAATATAAACGAATTTATTCTTTACCAAAAAGGACGTTTCACCCATTCGGTCAATCCGTCTAAAATCCAGTTTGATCGCGACACTTAATTTTGGTCCGCCAGGCCACCAAGCACGAGGCCCAGGGGCTTCCCTAAATCCACCTTCTTTTCGTCGTTGAGAAGCCGCAACGGTGACCTTCCCGAACCTTTGACTCAGCTGACCAACTCAATGGCCTTATCTTGTAAGTTACTTCTGGCCTGATTAATTGTGTTTGTATGTATTATTCTGTTGTGACGAGCCGTCACTAAATTCGTTCACGAGAAAATTGTAACTAAAAAGACTAATAACAAACCCTCAAAACATAACTCGAAAATTTGCAAATCTTAATTAATTAACACGCATGTTCTAATCGGCATTTAGTACCATTCAAATAGATAAACAAAATCAACTATCAGGAACAAAATTCGCGTATTCGCAAATTGCGAATAATATTGCGCTTGCCACACATTGCAAATAACTTGTACAAAATAATGCGCCAGAAACATCGCCAATCGCAATTACTTTCGTCTAAAATTGTATCCAAACTAAAACAGCTGCAAACGAAACGCAGACGCATAAAAAACATCAAAGAACGCCGTCGCTTCAAACTTACTACGTCATCAACCCAGCAGTGCATCTGTGCACGCACACTCATCTTAGCCCTCGCCAGAATGATCCCCACTTCATCCCCGGAACTGAGATTTCATCAGCTTCCCATATTTTTACCATATAAGGAAGCGGACTTACCGATTGGTCGACGCATCTTCACATTTTCATGACCATATAAGGGCATATAGTACCACACAAAAGCACGGTTCTATTTCTGTCCAAAACGAAGCTATATAAGGGTGACTTTCCAGCAGGAAAGGGATTCAGTTTGAGTAGAAGTTTCCAGTTGCCGCCGAAGGCTCTGTCCAAACCGGCGTCGAGATTTTTATTAATTTTGCTGAATTTTGAAGAAATCCGAACTTAGAAGAATTTGCTGAGCCCGAGAGGAAGATAGAAAAATTCTCAATGCTGCAGCTGTGTAAGTCTACCTTTTAGTCATTCTTAATTTATCTTGCTTTCCGTTTTTTCGTCATGTGTTCTCGAGTTCGAATCGTACATGTGTAGCGTTTAATTTATGCGTTTTCTCCGTTACGTTGGGTGTGAACAGTTAGCACCGGCACCGAAAGTAATCTTTAGTGCTTCCATATGTTCCCGTTTGTAGGTGGTACGTTTAGCCTTGCGTCAGTTCTTGATTATTGGGGAGGATTTTTCGATAAATTACCGTTTGCTTCTATGATAATTATTCCAAATTTCTGTAAATTGCCGATTTAACTCTTTTGCTTGCGACATAAATATTTTATATGCGTTTTGGAGAGGATTTTTCTGATTTTTACCATTTGCTTTTATAATAATTATTCCAATATCTCTTTAAATTTGCCGATTTAATTCTTTGCTTGCGAAATGAATATTTTATGTGCGTTTTTGGGAAGTTCCCGAATTGAAACCTATTAATCTAAATTTCTTGCTGTCGATTATTTTATATTGAATTTTTGCCGTTTAAATATGACTCCGTTCTCTGATTATTTTGCTATAGTATATATTATATTGCTATCTTTCTCACATTATACTTTATTTTAATCGCCTCATTGTATTTTAGCGCATTTATGATACTAACGTCCCAATGTTTAACTGCATGTATAAATTATGACTGTTTATTTTTACATGTATCTACCTGTCCTATAACCATCAATTTTTCTCGTGAACGATTGTTGTGCTCGGCATATTTAGCTAATCGATGTATGTGAAAACTTATTTATCTCTCTTTTTACATGTTATATTCATAAGTTGTCGTAGATTTAAGTGCATGATTTTTACCCGTTATTTTAGTTGTTCTCATGATTTAATTAATATATATAAATGCCCAATCGCAATTTATTTAAATAATTAAGTAATGATTCCATTTAGTAGTTAGTAGTTTATTTTTTTTTGGTTATTTATCATGCTCGTAATATTAATGTTGTTTAGAAGGTATCGCATTTAATTATGGATTTACCGAATTAATTTTTAGTGTTTTTGCATGCTGATTTTCTAGGATTACGTTTATTAATTAAAAATGTGGGTTATGTTCATAGATTTTAAGAGTTTTATTAGTGGAATATAATTGCGTAGCGCTTTAGAAGATAGTTTTGCATGTTGTTTTGTTTTTTCGTGTTATGTGTGTGAATTGATTTTATGTATTATTTTTCTGTTGATTATTTACACATTTACTCGATTATTCTTTTGACATGCTTATAATGCTTTCTTTAATATACGTATAAAAATGTTATAAATGTTTAATTACTACTTCTTCCCCTACATGCAGTTTAGCTCTTCCATTTCCAAGGAAATGGGCCGACACCCAAATAAATAATTTTGTTAGTGTCCAAAAGCTCGGCCGCGGTCAAAACTATTTGGGCACGACACTGTCCTTATAATGCCACATATCGACTATCCACATGTTGCTTTAATTCATAAATTATATATTGGATTCTTGCTTTGCTTAGGACCTCCGCGTCGTACTGCAAGAATTGTCGTACCAAGATTCTGCCTTGCCTTTTCTCATCAAAGCTTTCAATCTAATGACCGGACTTCCTTCACCCTCAAGCCGTGCGTACCCATCGCGGCAGAAGTGTACAAAAGTGTACATATTACTGCCTACCTACTAAGGGTACAAAACCCTAACCGTTATTTGCAACCAAGCTTAATGTTCATATTTACTTTCGTTTATTGTTTTCTTTAAAGATGTATATAATCGTTACGTACCCTTAGTTCGGAATAAATTACTCTAATGACCTATGAAGCGAAATTACATCGTGTTTTAAGTTGCTTTTCTTACCCCCTGAAGCGACCCTTCACAAGTCCTGAACCTAAGAGACGGCTACCAACAAAATCTCGGACATCAGAATTAGACAAACCTCGGACGCCAAGTACCTAAGTAAGCAAATTTAGAAAAGAGCTGACAATACTCCCATACGACGACTGCAATGAAGTTTGTTGTTCTTTGTAGCCAACATAGGAAATTCATCAAAAATGAACGCAACTAGCCAAAATGAAGCCGAGTACACCTACGATAAGGTCTTCTAACTAAATAATGGGCCCAAAATGAAGAAAAATATACTTGGATATATGAAGCGGATATTCAGCTAGTTTACCAGTTGTAAATCATAGCATTACACCAATGATTCCGAGTCATTTATATCAATCTGTTCGGGCTACCCTGGACCCGATGACAGTGCCGTGATATAACATAGAAAAGAACCTTACTCCAGCAGTATCAGCTTACAGAAGATCTTTTTGAGGCGTAACGTTAAAAATAATACCTACATAAGCGGTATTTAACAGTGTGATAATGATAAGGCTGATGGTTCTTTAAGGGTGCCGTAGTCTGATGGAGTTCGACGACGAAAGTCTTACAATGTAGAGGATCTTGTCGCCAAAATTCATGTTAGCGACAAACGGGATCTCGATTACGGTGGTCACAGAAACGAACAGTTTTAACAACTTTCTTCTTCCTAGAGCCGACATCGAGTCAACATACACATGTTTGGAACTATTCTTTTTCTCTTATGTACTAGTGAAATAAATTGTTTAATCATAAACCCGTCGTATAACTGCCAACCTACGGCACATAACAACTACAACAGCGTCTGGTTCTGTCTTCCGATAACAGGTGCAATGAAAACCACACATCCCTACGACTCTCATGAAAATATAGACCGGGTTGTCTCTACCTTACCGGACTAGGTCTGACTTCCTCAGAATGCGAAGCTCTGGTCTCAAGAAAAAAACACCACAGGGACAATATTGCTGAAAGGCTAATGGAGACCAACTCTATCTTCAAGATAGAGGATGATGGTTGGATCACCTACTATGCTGATGGTATATATCTGCCTGATCCTTTACTGGCGAGTAAGGGACCAGGACTGTTTTTGAGGCAGAAATTCTTACTTTGATTGAACGCGTCATAGAATATCTGCCGAGAGTTTTCACGAGAAAGTAGATCTGTATATTCAGAGGCAGCCAACCTTCGCTGAGGGCCTTGCAGTCTATCACGCACACGTCGAAGCTCTTCTGAGTATGTCACAGCTGAATACAGGATTTAGCTGAACGCAAGAAAAAAATCTGTGGTCTGCTGGATTCCTAGATATAGGTATGTATGAGTTGTAAAGGAAATAAAAGACCAACGGTCTGCCCAGGCAGCGTTCTGAGAGAGGTTTTGTAGAAGCAAATCCGATTCTATCGATTCCTAAAAGTGCCCATAGAGAAACGCAGAATGCATAAGTTTACGCCATATTCAGAAATGACGAATTTTAAAACTGGGTCAGGATTATAATCGGACGCAAAATATGGTATCAGGAAAGAACAAATGGAATGGACCAAATTTTGAAGTCACATATGACATTGGACATACAGCTATAAGGTGCAAACTGGCCTTTATTAAAGACACAGAACTCTTATATGATCCATGATCAAAAGATATGCGCCTCTACATGATAACCTAACTGCAGTGCGTACCCTTCGTTCGTGCATTAAAGAGAAAATACTTTACATCATGCTCCCTCATGCTTCCCTTCTGGGTAGTTAGAGAATCGCCGCTGTTAATTAATGAGCTCAAAATCAGCTTGGAATTTTTCATTTTAGTTAGTTAGGTCAACTTATTGTCAAAACCTACATCGAAACATTTCACAGTATGAAAAAGAAGTAAATATTACATTCCTTGTAGGCTTATCTCATCTTATCTCCAACATTCCTTCGGTAATTTTCAGTCCTATCATTAGAAGTAAACCACATGCTCCCTCCGTTCTTATACCAACCTCCCCGATGGATGCGAATACATAAGCTGCGACGAAGTTCCGGTGGGACGGGACGGTGACGGTCCGGAATCTTGCCGATAACGTGTGGGGGCGGCGTGCTTCGGTGCCAAGCCTTGGACTGACTAGTGCCGCTGATATAGAAACACGTCTGGCCCACCTAGGCTTATGCGGATATCTTCACGCCACCGGGGATGGCGCCTTCGGTCAGGAGCGGCGGTCGCTCGGGCGCCAGCTCCCTCTCCGGGGGAAGGAGCACCGGGGTTGCTTTCAAGCCGGAGACACGGATCTCCAGGTGGTGAACGCCCGCGAGAACAAGAGAAAAGCGACTTCCTTCAAGACCTTGGAACGGGAAATCGCGTGGAGACGGTATGGCGACCCGGGAGGGGAGCGAGGTGGCGGAATACGACGCGTGCTCGACGGTTTCGACTTTTGACGGTGACGACAAAAAAAAAACAGTGACGGTGGTACAGTTTTTCGCTCGGGGGGGCGATTCAAAACCGGTACACAGACAGGCAGAAGACCCAAAACCGTACTTACGATGGTCAGTACTTTCACAGGGCTCTGCACTCTCAACAAAAAACATCGTCACTGGGGAAAACAGCCACAGCACTTCGGTCTTTTCTCTTGGAAACTTCAAGCAAGAAATCCTCTTCTTCCGCCGCGTCGGCGCGACCATCACGGATTTGCCCCCAACTCTCTCGGTACGCGCCCCGGTTTCTGGCTCGCAAAAATTTGCTTCGTTACACAGTTGTTAAGATGGTGTGGCGGCAAATCTAAATTATGGCAATCGAGAACGGAATTTCAGTTCCTCGTCTGTCACCCCTCCTCGGTGATTCTACTGTATAAGAGGGGTATAATACACACGCCACATATCTATGCCCTAAAAACCTACCGCATATTACACATATCTTTCACGCCGTCTTCGCAAAACAACCCAGCTATTGGAATAAGCAACGCGTTTCACGCGGACGCAAGTCTTCCCATGAAGCTTAAATTTCAACATCTATTTGAGCAATGACAAAACCGCAAACTTGAACTAAAAACCATGTGTTCCGCTTTCGTCACGCGAATTTGTGTTCCTTTTTTTTTCAATTAAATTCAAATTCTATCTCTCTCGAATTGGTAATGATGACTGAATGAGTATTACAATGACTTAAATTGATTATGCCACACTCAAGAATTTCAACCAACAAAGAATTTACATGTGTTAAATTACGCCACACTTTATGAAAAATTTTACACAGCAGAGAACTTACACGATGTTAAATCATATATTAAAATTATAAAATCACAATCAGCTGGTTTTGGAAACGCTACGCTCTACAGGGTGCAGTTGAGAATAAATGTTCAATTCAAGCCGCAATGTATTATTAATTCCGTAAGACAATAATTAGACCTGCAACTAACTATTAAACTGGTAAGAAAATATTAAACCCCGTTTTTCGAGTCCATGGGAGTATAAAATTAACCGCAACTTTTCAAAGTCCCTTTTTTCTAAATGGGCCAACGTTTAGATTAGTTTAAATATCATAAATGAACTATTAGCAGTCTCAAGTGAGAAATTAAGAAGTGTGTTACAGTGTAATACCTACTTAAGTAAAAACATTCAGAAACTTTAGTCATAGCTTGATAAACAATAAAATGAAGCCTGAATAAATTAATTTCCTAACACGTGGTTTATATAGAACAATTGCATGAATTTTAAATTGTGTTCGCACCAGGAACAATAAAAAATCCTAACATGAACTATGGATTTACAGACAATAAACAAAAATTGACACCACCTGTTGACATCGGCGAAACTCCACATTTCAGATTAACAAATCCATTAATAATAATTAATTACGCTTATGGGGGAAACTCGTCGCCACAGGTACAATTAATTTTCGTTTAAACAATGACTGTTTTATGGAACTACAAATTAATCTTAACCTAGGTACTCTTAATGTTCACCACGTGGTTACACTCACACCAAACAAACAACAAGTGGCGCATCAAAACCAAAACGAGTCTAGTTTCCCACGCATTAATTAACATTGCCAACCCCTCACCAGCTACCAACTTAAAGATTGATATTCACTAATTCCCTAGAGGAGCTACCACCTATTTGAAGTTACACATGGTTGCATATGTTTAACGATTTTCTTAATTTATTTTTCAAATTCAAAATATTAAAAAATTTGTATTCAAGCTGGAACACCACAACGTTATCAGATTCTCAGATCACCTCCAGCCTCCAGAGAAGGTTCCAGGAATTAATCCCGCTTCACATCGCCATTTTAAAATCAACCAATTCATAGGATATAAGTTTAAAAAAGGCATTCAACTGCGGAGCTGAATTATAAGGCAAAAAATTCCATAAAGAAACCTTTAGTTTGTCCCTTTAATAAACAATACAATCTAGAAAGTAAAAATGTTATCTCTATAGAGTAATAACCACGAGTCACCTAGCATTTGCAAAAAATACGGATTCGATTTTTTTTGCTAACAGTTTAAAACAAGAATTACAATTTTTATTAAAACCAACACAAACTGTCTGCCTTATTAGGTGATAAGTATACAAATTAAATTAAATGGGTCTGTAAATGGTTTGAGCGATGGCGCGTAGTTGGAGGCGAAGGCGGGGCATGAAAATTGATATTGACCCCGACTCGTATTGCTAGTTGCCTATCGACAAGAATACACGTAAAATTGAGCTTTGGCCATGCGGTATTTTTGCAAAGCTCTACTTCACCAGCGCCCTCTTTATTACCATCATGAGTATCACTAGTAGCTGCAACAGTGGGGCGCCGAGCAGATGTGAGAGTAGTGAGTGGCAGTGAACGTTCCGACCGTAAACAATTATTTCATTTAAAATTCATAAAATAAGCGAAATAGAATTGATTTTTGTTGACCTCATCAGTTAAACGAACATCCTACTTTCAACTACTGGCTACACTATTTTTGTAAGTGCTATTAATTTATTAATTGTTTTTTTTTTACGGACGAAGGCCATAAAATATTTATGCGCTCTTTCGAGTTAAATTTTTGCGATGATTTTACACAATTCTGAGTTTTTGTTTTATTAAGAATGACTAGGGAATGATTCATTCGCCGTCTAACATCAGCCACTCCTTCTTTTTATCTCGTTTTTAAACCTATAATGTTATTTGTATTGTTTGGGTAATTGCTGTTGATGTTGTTTATTTTGGCGTTTATTTCTTACCACCCACAGTGACATTTCCTATAACGTTGTTTTTTAAGTGGGTTTTCTTACAAAAATGAATGTGGTTAAATCTAAATGGATTTTCCGCCTCTGCATTTTTAACTCATTTTTTATGGAGTGAATACAGATTAAAATATGGGTTCGAATGAATGAAATTAAAAAAAAAGTGTAATGAACTTAAAGAAAGACGTTATAATCATAATTATAGGTGGACTACCAGTTACGCATTAACGTCTTTTTAACAAACCAAGGATGCGAGACGCCAACTGTTATTAAGTGGCGCAATAGGAAGGATGGGTGCTTTTACTTTTAATGACCGTCATGTGCTCCACAATTAAATAAAATCTGACATGAGCAACTATAATAATCTCTTTCCGTTTTCTTGTTTGTTTTATTTTGTCGTTGCCTCTGTTTTGTTTGCGGCCACTCGAAGACCGCTGTTACTTAGTAGAAGTAATAATGCTAATGTATGTAACGAGTTGTAATGAGTGTTTTTACTTTAAATGGCGTTATGTCATTCTTTCGAGTCAACAATCTTAAAAAGGACATGAGTATCGTGTTCCAGTAAAAATGGATACATTCAAGTTTCTACCTTTATCGGATAGAAGAATTTTATACGTTTTTTTCTATCAAAACGTGTAAACCTTGTAGTATAAAATATGTTTATTAATAGCTACAACAAAATAAATGGTCGAAAATGATCGTCAAATTTATTTTTTCACTAATAATTTTCTAGCAAGTTGAATAAGAAAACTTGTTCTGGAAGTACCTATAGTTTTACGTCAAAGTATCACCAAATTTCCTAGTAGTTCATTTACTTTTATCTGCAAAGTATAATTTTAAATGTAACAATAACGATCCCGTCGTTTAAACATTCAACTAAAGATAATTTGTAGCGACAAAAATGTTTTTTTAAAAAAAAGTATTGTTAAAGAACACGTTTTTGAGTGGCTTATTCCATTAAGTATAACTTTGTTATTTAGTTTTTAAGTCTGTCGTAACCATTTAGTTTCAAATTTAGTGTCGTGTCAGAACGTTCTTAAAGTGAAAAAAGAAGTAACACAGAAGTGGTATGAGTGTGAACCATTCGTTTCGTTTTTTCGAATTGTACTGATTTCGGGAAAACTGACATGTTTACATGTATCCACTAAATTACAGTTTTAAAAACTTCGAAAATTGCAGAACGCCTTTTCAAAAAGTAAGATCTGTGCATGTTAACTGTGGCAGACACAATCTGGTTTCCATAAAATTGTTTCAAGTACCAGCTCACTAAATTTATCATAATGTAGGCTGCTGTTACACTCGAGTCGTAATTTTTATGCTCATGTTCAAAAATTCTAACCAAAAAGTCACCGATTTTCTCAACTTCATCGTCCCGGTTGAGGTCAAATATTTCGATCGGTCAACATCTTGCGAAAGAAAACACTGGTAATTTAAATACGGTCGTTTCATATTCTGCAGTAAAACGATAATTTTGCCATGAATTACGCTTTGATAAGACTGCTCACATAAAATTTATGCATTTGTGATGTGAATTGCTATAGCGAGTTGATGAGTTTACGTCGTTTGGATATCTGGTAAATGTTTAAAGTTCTAGATAAAGCGTATACTTCATTACTATAAATGACTAGTAGAAAAGATTTCCCACATGCGAAACTAATGGGATTTGAATGGTGTGTTTACTTTTATTTGTTTAATTCTAACAATTAGTTTGCTTTGTTGGATTAAATGCAGACTTTACCCATTTTGCTAAAAGATAATCATCGGAGATTGTGGGCTTCAGCGACTAATGAATATTTATTCTACAAACTGGTTTTCAGCTATTATAAAGAGTTTAACTGTTTATCAATAATTTATTCTATAGGAGCTCAAAAAGCATTTTAATTTGTTTGTGTTTTTATTGCCATGGCAATCGATGCGTGATGGGTAATTGTATAATCGTAAATATGGAGGGTGAAAAATATAAAATTTGCAATTCAAATTTTATAAGTAGTTGTTTTACCGCCCCCGCAAAAAATCAATTTCTTGTCTATATTAGGTTTTCCATTTCCACAATTTTATTTTTTTAAATTGCTTTCAAATAACAGTTACTGCCGGAAACAATGACTTGAAAAAATTCGGATTTGATGTTAAGTTGTATTGTAGATGGTGTTAGTTCAATCTGCAAGTTTCATATACTGTTATGTCGGATCCTCCCTGTACAAATATATGCGGCACCCGTGGAGATGACAACGCGGAAAACGACGAGAGCACTCTGGAAACGGTAAAGTCGATGTAGTTCTGGGAAATATTTCAGTTAGAAGCATAAATATTTCAGTCGTAAACAATATTGATTGCTGCATGGATAATTCCACCCAATTTCTTTATTTATACGATATGTAAAGAACCTGGAAATATTTCTAAATTTTTCGTCTTGTTGCTGTCGATGTCGATTTTACTGTCAAATTTCACATATGCGTTAGGAATATCGTGAAGAGGGTAAAACGCTAACCAAAATTTATCTAGTCATCCTTACCAACAGTTTGATGACGTACCTCAAAATTATTTATGATAAATATTATTTAAACTTTATAAAATAACATACTTTTGTACTTGCGTTTTATGAATCCGCTTTGAGTTTTCTCTTATTTTTTTTCTTACACTGTCACTGGTATTATCGATATTTTTTGACTTATAGAAGTTATCATAAAAAATAAAATTTCGCAAAAATCAAATATAGATTTTCGAATAAGCGCGATATATTAGACTGTACATCAGAACGGGGGAAATGCTGTCTAAAAAGCCTTTTTATGTAACAGTATTAATCGCAAATATAATATGGATAGATATGGAACGTTGTTTCCATATTAAGTTGTAAATATTTTGTATAACTTTAAACAATAAAAGGCGTTGTCATAAATTTCACACAATGCGTCACAAAATTTTATTTGTAGATATCATATTGAAACTTTTATCAAAACATGTCCAAATACTACTAAATAAATACCAAATACGTAAGTAAATAAATGAATACGTATGTTAAAAATAGCAATGTGTTCTAACATGTTAGAACAAAATTATCAAATTGATTGCTTTTAAAATAGTTTTAAAATTTTGACGGTGTTAAACGGTGAGTTATTAAACGTAATATCGGTTTATACGACCGAGGTCACATTAATTTGACACTTTAATGTGTCCAATTAAGTAGAAATACATGACAAATAGGAACTAAACAAAATGAATACAAAGTCAAAAATTTTGGTACATCGGGGGTTTAAAAGAAACAAAATCGAAGAATATAAAAGTAGAGGTAGCAAACAGGTATAAATACCTACATGTTTCGAGTATCTAAAGTTCAACATACTCCACTGAGACAAACAACATCGAATGTCACAGCAATAAATACGGTGTGACACAAAAAACGTCCTCAAGTTGGCACTGGACGAGTAAGCTGTTTTTTCATCTTCTGTGATTGGGAAATTAAAATCCAGTGACAACTAGACATTTTTACTGATTAGACGTTACTTTTTTCAAGAAGGGAGATCAGTTGAAACATTTTTCTAAAGAAAAGTGACCAAAAGAATGAGGTTTGTACGCTTGATAATAATATATGTGTCGCACCTTCTTTTTAGTGAAGAATACTCCTTACAAAAAAATTTGAAGAAATGATGCGATAGAAGGATGTAAAAGAAACAAAGCGATGAAAATGTAAGAACAAATATGAATGGATGAGTTGAAGACACGAATGTGTTTCAGTAGGAAGTATTGCGAAAGTCAAAAAACCTCAAGATAATACGTGTGCAACCATAATAAAACAAACAAGAATGAGTTATGCAAGGAGACCAAACCTGCACAATGAAAAATATATTGGCACCTGCAAACACCGTGGCCTGTTAAAAAGATAAATCGTAAACAAGTATCAGAAAGTGACACAAATGAAATCTATCAGATTTTTTATTTTCATGTCCAGTACAGTTAATCAAGTTCGTACCACGTTTATTTGTTAAAATACTTTTTTAAATTGGTCCCTTGGTTCATAAGTTCTGAATTTTCGCTTTTGTAACCTTGAACATTGACCGCCAAGAGCGACCCAGCCTATGTTGTTAATTAATTTAGGTCAAACTTCATTCCAATGAAGTTCAACCACAGAGTTTCCGTTTGGGCAATATTTAATTAAGCATTTGTGACTCAACTCAATTATAATCAGGAATAGGGTACGCATTGATTGACAAAGTTTCGCGTTCACAACGGAATAACAATTCCCGGTAAAATCAAAATAAAATATTACGATGGCATTCAGGTCTAGTATTTCTTGCCAATAACCTGCGGACAAAACTGTGAAATAATCGACCATTACGGCTGAACCGCATTGTTTTCCGTTATTTAACCACAACAAACTATCACACCATCCATTTGTAAAGTGTGTAGCGTGGTCAAAATCTTGAAACAATAAAAACGATTTAAAACTTTCTCAAATAAAAAAATTGTAAACAAAGCAAATGTTGTTAACTTTTTCTGGTCATTTTTCGCGCTGAAACTTGAAACCCGGCAAGAAAATTCCAATAAACGACATACGACGTATGGTCATATGGCATCTCCACGTATACCGTCTTCGAGAATCTGACCCGTTCGGTATGTGCACTGCTTGAGGCTGTACGTGATACGGCTAGCTCAATAACTGCCGTCCAAAGATAATCTTTATGATATGTCCATGTTTGACCACATCATCCAGAAATCATCCATGATCGCTGTTATTAAGCT